TTTTGAAATATCTTTGTATGCTCCGTGCTGACTAGATGTGGGTTGCCGTCATCAGCATTGCATCAATCTTAGTCACATTCTCTCCTAAACTCCCAAGTACTATAGACTACTACGTAGGGCTGGCACAACTACCGTATCGTGTAACCGACGATTATGGACAAATAAAATAACTTTCATAACCGTTTTCATTATTATAATGTCTTTTTTTTGTGGAACAAACAGCTAACTGAAGACTGCCAGGAATTTGTGCGGTTGAGTCCTTTTCCGCTGTAGAATGGACTCTTTAGAACAGGGATTGGCATGTGATAGGATTTTTTTGGGGGGAGGGGTGGTAGCCAGTTAGCGTCTCAATTTACTGTAGAATAGTAGAATACACAAGGTGCAATTTCTAAATTCGGCTGTGCATCAGCAGTTTTTCTCTTGTTATTTCAGTCACTGACAGTCACTCAATTAGTCCATGTCAGCTAAAATGTTTTAGAATGGTAAGTTAGTCTACCCAGCTATCTAAACTTCTAGAAATCATGGTAGAATTACAGACTGGGGAGCCCCCATTGATTTTGTTAGTCACTCTCACTTAAATATCATATTAAAAACTGCTAACATTTCTCTCCACCATATGGCAATATGTGTAGAATTGCAGAAAATTAGCTGTAAAACTGCAAAAAAACAAGAATTAAATTAAATGAGTTATACAATTGCAAAATCCTCTCTCCGCCCATTGGTAAAAGGGGACGGATTGCAGCAAACTTGCTTTAAAACTGCAACATTTTCTTTATGCTCCATGGCAAAGAAATTACAATTGCAAGAAATTAATTCCAAAATGTAAAAATATTTCTGTCCACTGTCAAGAGAGAGGGGCGCTAAAATGTCTTGCTCAGTATGGATGTGGGTAGACCCATGAGCCACTGCAGCCCCTCATGAGTTCAGACTTTTTGTGGCCCCCAACCCGACAAAGTTATCCATTCCTGCTTTACAACGTGATTAAACTTTGTTGCTCCTCGCTGAAACAAGCAAGGTGTTGTTACTCCTGAGTGGCGCAGTGGTCTAAGGCACTGCATCGCAGTGCTAACTGTGCCACTAGAGATCCTGGTTCGAATCCAGGCTCTGTCGCAGCCGGCCGCGACCGGGAGACTCATGGGCGGCGCACAATTGGCCCAGCGTCGTCCAGGGTAGGGGAGGGAATGGCCGGCAGGGATGTAGCTCAGTTGATAGAGCATGGCGTTTGCAACGCCAGGGTTGTGGGTTCGATTCCCACGGGGGGCCAGTATAAAAAAAATATGTATTCACTAACTGTAAGTCGCTCTGGATAAGAGCGTCTGCTAAATGACTAAAATGTAAATGTTGTAGAAAATAAGTATTTGGTTGCCTAGGCAACACCCCCGTCCCTGCAGGTATGCAGTCAAGCGGAGGAGATAAAAAAAATGTGTATTTTAAACAGGGGTGAAAGTAGATTTAATTTCTTCTCTGTGTTGTGTTGTGCTCACTTGAACAGGAAGGTGGCGCGGCGGTCCTTCGTCTGCAAATTTTGTCATCAAACTTTGTCATCAAAGTCTAGCATTCTCTGGATTGATGGTGCTTTCAAGACAACTGGGAACTCTGAAAAAAACAAGGTTGAATCATGACGTTAGTGATCTTCAGGTGGGAGCTCTAGAAAGAGGCCAGAGTTCCCGACTTAGAATTCTGAGTTGGATGATCATTCAAAACGTATTTTCCCAGTCGGAGCTAGTTTTTTTCCGACTTCCCAATTGTCTTGAACTCACTGAAGTCTGAGATTTCCCAGTTCTGAGTTTCCAGTTGTTTTGAACGACGGGAGAAGTCATGCTGGGTTGACAGCATTGTTGAATGTTTATCCTTTTAAGCTTTGAAAAGAGACCCTTAAACCCAGACTTGGACAACACACCCTATCCACCGAATAGCAGGGGAAGCAAAATAGTGATTGCTCTGCAATACTTGCAGTTAACCATTGATTCCTTCCAAACCACTCCTTGTTGAATTTGCGATTTCCAACTTGTTGTGTAATGTTTATGTCCAATGGCCGATGAGCACCGATACGTTTTATCTATAATTTATCTTCATATGACAAGGATTGAAAAGGATTTTCCAGTAGATTTTCGACGTGATGATGACTGCTTGTCTAGCTTGCTAGCTAAGATTTTGAAAGTATGATGTTGACATGATCAGTCCAATCAAAGCTACGGTAGATATAACGTGATTTGACATCATTTTATCTGTGGCCAATGACCTTCAGCCTTCTTGGATGGGCACTTCTAATGTAACTCTATGGCAGCACCCAAGGGGGCTTGAATTTTCGAGCTCTCCCTATACATTTTGCGGTGACGTAGTGTCCCCATGAGTGACAGAACACTGAGCCAATCACGGCGCAACTAGAGAACATTACCAACCCCTACGCTCCGTATTTTCCGCTGGCTGCCCCACCACCACAGAAAGCACTAAGCTAGGCTGAAACACCTGCATTTTGGAGCTGCCTTACTCAAGAAAGCATAAAAGAGACCATGTTTGTATGCGGCTTTATTAACTCAAAGATTTGTTTATTTTTTACATTGTTTGCAAACTGATATGTGACATATTAATGCCAAAATAACAGGCAAAACAGGCAACAACAATAAGGTGGGGCCACTAAACAGGTGGGGGTCACCACTGCCCACGATGCATAGGCCTATAAAAGTAGTGGAGTGGAGATACATGCCACGGACTTATCAATGAATAACACTGATGGCACAGAGCAGAAGGCTTAGCTTAAAATGTTGATAAACTATTATTTCTTCACATTTTAAGCGCAGCAATCGGCACACAGTGGTAGGCCTACACACAAATGTTCCAAAATGCAATTTCGCAGGAAAACACCATTCTAAAATGCGCACCACAAAGATGGAAATATCAGTTACAAATGTAGAAAAAGGTGAGATCTTAAAATGCAACGACTATCATGGGTTGCTAATATTACTAGGATAATGCCTTTGCCTGCTAGACAATGAAATAAAGTTGAAAACCAATAGAACAGCAGAGCGCATTTGAGGAAGTCTTTATAAAATAATTGCCTCCATGTTTCTATGCTGGGATTTTTGGCTATAGGCTAATTTGAAACAAGGTAAGACATGCCTCATAATATGAAGTAAAATGTACATGTTTTAAACAATTAGGTCTAAGGAACAGGAACAATATAGTGATGCTAATGAAAGGCCTAATGTCTTCTGGTAGATGGAAAGGCTTTCCCAAGAACCTCCTTAATTAAATGTTAACTACAAAGTAGCTTATGCCTACCTGGCAGAATGATATCATGATTATTTGCATCAATCAAGTGGCCATTTCTTTTTCAAACTCCATCTCGTGTGTGCTACAGAGACACTGCTAACCAAACAACACTGCTAGGTGCCTGCACAGTTGAATTAAAGTGTAACTACAATCAAAACCCAAAATGTCTTAGATTAATGGTGACCGCGGTCATTTAGCTGACCAATAACTGTCATCCAAAATTCCATAACCGTCACCGCCCTATACAGGTGCACTGGGGGGACTGAGGGCTCCCCCTGATTAGCATGGCAGAGCTCTAGGGGAGTAATTGGGCTGCTTCTATAAACATCACTGTGTGGTCTGGAGGGGGGCACGGGGTCCCAGTCCCACAGCCCCTCACTGACAACATCACTGAGGCCTGTACACTGTCCAACAGCACTGAGCCCTATCCCACCCAGCCCCAACACTAAGTCAGAACTCAGATGACAGCAACCACTATTCCCAATACAATGAAGCCCAAAAGCTAATCTCTCACCCATCAGTTCAGCGTCTACTGTAGCTATACACTGATTATACAAAACATTACAAACACTTGCTCTTTCCATGAGACTGACCAGGTGAAAGCTACGATCCCTTATTGTCACTTGTTAAATCCACTTCAATCAGTGTAGATGAAGGGGAGGAGACAGGTTAAAGGATGATTTTTAAGCCTTGAGACATGAACTGTGTATGTGTGCCATTCAGAGGGTGAATGGGCAAGAAAAAAGATTTAAGGGCCTTTGAACGGGGTATGGAAGTAGGTGCCAGGCGCATCGGTTTGTGTCAAGAACTGCAACGCTGCTGGGTTTTTCACACACTATAGTTTCCCGTGTGTATCAAGAATGGTCCACCACCCAAAGGACATCCAGCCAACTTGACAACTATGGGAAGCATTGGAGTCAACATGGGCCAGTATCCCTGTGGAACACTTGACACCTTGTAGAGTCCATGCTAGGAAGGTGTTCTTAATACTTTGTACACTGTGTATATTCACATCATTACAGGAAAATACATGCTCTGGTCCCCAATAGTGAAATGACACCCCTGGTGGCCATGAGTGGACTCAATCTAAATCAGAGCTGGTCAAGTATTCAGAGGTTTTACTTGTTAGAACTGAAGCGGAGGAAAAAATGAAAATTAACCTGGAGACCTTGATTTAGCGACAATGTGCGAAAGCATGCATAGATGGCTATTCATCACAGTGCTTTGGACAAGTGGGCAATGCAGAGGTTTTAAATTGAAAACCATAATGCTCATTAGACCAACACTCAGCATAAAGGGCAATCAGAAGTTGCATTTGCCACAAGAGGGTGCCTGAACAAAATTACATTTGTAAATTGATTAGACTAACTGATATTGCATAAATGCATATTCAGTCCAGTTGAAATCCACACTGTGCTTCAAAGTACAATTTATCTGGTAAATCGGCACACAGTTAACAGTAGGAAGGCATTAAGTTTAATACTGTAGTTTAACAAATGTTTATTGTAACAGTACAACAGTAGCTACCGGGACAATGATCACAGAGCAATAATTATTGCACGTAATACATTGCCCCAATAACAATAGAACATGTGAATCTGAAATTACACTTTAGAATAGCATCAATAAAGAGCACAACCCAGTTTGATCAATGTACAAAAAAACATTTATTTCAGTATGAAGTGCTTCAAAACCAACATGTCTTCAGGAAAAAGCTAGACAGATATTGAAAAAAAAAAAAAAAAATCCCTTATTCTCTATATGAAAAGAAGGCATGTTCTGCCCAGCCAGACCGTACGGATGGTGTTCCTATCACCTGTGAATGATTGCCAATCACTAAATCTCACACAGCGTGATTACACACATGGGACACAGAGTGGGACTTCCCCAGGCAGCCAGCCAGCTGCACCGCGCAGCTCCAGCTCTACTGTACATCTAGGACCACCAGTGGGAAGGAGGAGGAAGGGTAGGAGAGGGGGCCAGGGTGGGGGCTGTGTTACAGTGAGTAGGCAGGGCCGTCATTAGGCCCCCTGGATCAGGCCTGTGCTAGCCTCTCGATGACTCTCCTGTACTCAGCCAGCACTTCCTGGTAGCTCTTCTCCAGCTCCTCCTGTTGCAGCGCCGTGTCCATCTGACTGATGTGGGATGCCAGCTCTTCTGGCCGCAGACACTTCATCATCTTGGTCATCTCCCGCTGGTTCTTCTAAGTACGCAATAAACACATCCACTAGTTAATGCACTGCGTTTGTGTGAAATCCATTAGCTAGTTTCCCCCCCAAGACTTTGAATGCTGTATGGTATTATGCAAATGCATCTGTTAAGAGGGATGTATTTTAGAAGTTTGATGGCAGTTAGCAGCAGCGAATCTTACATAATGCACATTTAACTGACAAGAGCAAGTTAATATTGGGTATTGTTCCTCCTGTGGGTCCTCATTTTTCAGACCTGACCACATCTCAGTGTATTAAACCCAAATAGTCAGAGGGGAGGAGGGAAAGGAGGCAAAGGATTCTGTAATTGAGCCAGCATGAGTGCTGAAAGCTTCTGGACATGGACCAAGATTCCTCACTCATGTATTTTGGGGACATTGCAAAAAAGCTTGTTGTGTACACACACACTCTCTCTCTCTCTCTCTGGGGAATGGGGGTAAGAGAAGCCAGAAGTGAGCAGAAACATGTAATCCTCCGCACATCCAATGAGATGGGCTCTGCCATTCAGCTAGCTACAAACCAAACCTCCCCAGGAAAAAGAAACAGCCTGCTGCATCTGGTCACCAGATCTCTCCTCCACTCCACAGACAGTCTACCAAGGAATTTCTACTTCCTTTTTCACCACAAACTTTCTTCCTCCTCAGATATTGGCCTTTTTCCTAAGATGTGTGGTTACACTGCTGACAGCAATCCTCTAAATGGTTGCTTTGCTGGGTTTCAATAAGACACTCAACATGTCATGGAACATGCATAATATGTAAATCAATGTTATCCTGTAAATACAAAATGAGTTACAGTTTGTTTAATCAGATTTCAAAAGCACAGTAACAGTGCCGATATGAAACGTGTGCCATTTGGCAAGCAGCTTCTCTAACTAACTGCTTGAATGTGTGCTGTTAGCAACCTACTCCCACCTAAATTACTCAACCCTCTTCAATGACATGCAAATCCTGAATAATGAAACTGAATCCTGGGATAACACTACAATGGACGCCTGCCGTGCTCCAGACATTTTCCTGCAACTGGGGAATAATCGCTCTCCTGATTCTGGATAAAGTCATGCAACATAAGTAACAAGGCGGCTACACCTAGACAGGCAGCCCAATTCTGATCTTTTCCCACTAATTAGTCTTTTGACCAATCACAGAACTTTTCACATCAGTTCTTTTACAAAGCTGATCTGATTGGTTAAAAGACCAATTAGGTAAAAACATATCAAAAGTGGGCTGCCTGTCTAAACACAGCCGAAGCAGCTCTAAGCAAATAAAGTGCACGTCATCTTCTTGGCCTTGTTCTCTGCCCTTTCCAAACCATGTATGTAAAGTCATAAGTTGCCAAACACTAAGCACTTGGAGAAGCGCTGTATAATCAATTATCAAATGAACTTGATTGATCCTGGTTAAATAGTGCGACTAACAGCCATTAACCACTGATGAAGTCCATAGGGAAATACACAGCCATGAGCATTACACTGTACAGACAACCTGCTAATTCCATTGGAATAGAAACTAGAGCACAAGGCGGACACTGCAGGAGGATGGGGGAATGCATTTCACTGGAGAAGCTGCGGTCCACTCTTATAAACATACCTTGGTAGGGGCAAATAGCCTCTTTTTGACTTCCAGACGGTAATCTCTTGCTTTTGTCTCATCGCTCATGTCCGTCACCCTCAGACGCAGGATTTCGTACACTCGTCTTGCGTGTTTCTGTAGGGGCAAAAACAGGACAGGGCCATTAGTGCCTTTAAGAAACTGTACAGTCGGTCTACATAATCATCTAGAAAAGATTGAGCCATTCCTTAGTTAGCTTTAGGTTTGGTTGAGCTATTCAGGACCTCCTGGTACAATACTAAAGTGCCTGGAGCTTCATGCAAGAGCCGAGGCAGAGTAAGAAACAAGCATTTTGTCTCTCCACACCATGGGTACCAAGCTGTGATAATCATCTACATGCAAGGGGGACAAAGGAAACTAATGATATAGTTGGGACTAAGTGCAGTAAGAGAAATCAAGCAGGGGCCACTTTTGAAGTGAGTGTCCACCGCTTTAGATGAAATAGTACATTTTCCCCTCTAGGACTAGAGAGCCATGGGTTAATGAGTGAATTTGTCCATTAATGGTTTTGTGAAAGCAAAAAAAGCCTTCATATCCTCAGAAAGTGCAGTAATCAAACGTATCCTCCTCTGGGCTCTATAGATGAAGTTGCTGTTGACCTTGTTAATCTTAAATTTCTCCCTGGCCTCTGTGGCCATGTCGTCACTGAAGCCCAAGGGAAGCTTGTCTGTGGAGAATGATGGCAGTGTTTGGCAAAGCTTGACCAGAACGTAGTCTCTCAGCTTCACATAGTTCTCTGAGGGGTCTTCAGCTGAAAAGAATATCAGAAAACAAGACGATAATTAAACACAAGCTTGGGATTCCATTTAACATACACACTTATATACAGTGCATTCTGAAAGTATTCAGACCCCTTTACTTTTTCCACATTTTGTTACATTACAGCCTTATTCTAAAATGGATTAAGTTACACATTTTCCTCAATCTACACGCAATACCCCATAATGAGAAAGCGAAAAACAGGTTTAGAAATGTTGCCCAATTTATTAAAAATAAATCAGAAATACCTTTTTTACATAAATATATTCAGACCCATTGCTATGCGACTTGAAATTGAGCTCAGGTGCATCCTGTTTCCATTGACCATCCTTGAGTTGTTGCTACAACTTGATTGGAGTCCACCTGTGGTAAATTCAACTGGTTGGACATGATTTGGAAAGGCACACACACCTGTCTATATAAGGTCCCACAGTTGACAGTGCATGTCAGAGCAAAAACCAAGCCATGAGGTCGAAGGAATTGTCCGTAGAGCTCCAAGACATGATTGTGTCGAGGCACAGATCTGGGAAAGGGTACCAAAACATTTCTGCAGCATTGAAGGTCCCCAAGAACACAGTGGCCTCCATCATTCTTAAATGGAAGAAGTTTGGAACCACCAAGACTCTTCCTAGAGCTGGCCGCCCGGCCAAACTGAGCAATTGGGGGAGAAGGGCCTTGGTCAAGGAGGTGACCAAGAACCCGATAGTCACTCTGTCAGAGCTCCAGAGTTCCTCTGTGGAGATGGGAGAATCTTCCAGAAGGACAACCACCTCTTCAGCACTCCACCAAATCAGGCCTTTATGGTAGAGTGGCCATTCGGAAGCCACTCCTCAGTAGAAGGCACATGACAGCCCACTTGGAGTTTGCCAAAAGGCAGCTAAAGGACTCTCAGACCATGAGAAACAAGATTCTCTGATCTGATGAAACCAAGACTGAACTCTTGGCCTGAATGCCAAGAGTCACGTCTGGAGGAAACCTGGCACCATCGCTATGGTGAAGCATGGGGGTGGCAGCATCATGCTGTGGGAATGTTTTTCAGCGGCAGGGACTGGGAGACTAGTCAGGATCGAGGGAAAGATGAACGGAGCAAAGTACAGAGAGATCCTTGATGAAAACCTGCTCCAGAGTGCTCAGGACCTGGGGCAAAGGTTCACCTTCCAACAGGACAACGACCCTAGGCACACAGCCAAGACAACGTAGGAGTGAAGACTCAAGGGAGTAATCGCTGCCAAAGGAGCTTCAAAGTACTGAGTAAAGGGTCTGAATACTTATGTAAATGTGATATTTCAGTTATTTTATTATAAAATTTCAAATTCTAAAAACCTGTTTTTGCTTCGTCATTATGGGGTATTGTGTGTAGATTGATGAGAAAATAACAATGTAATATATTTTAGAATAAGGCTGTAATTGGGCCTCCTGAGTGGCGCATCGGTCTAAGGCACTGCATCGCAGACCTGGGTTAATTCCCGGGCTGTGCCACAACCGGCCGTGGCCGGGAGTCCCATAGGATGGCGCACAATTGGTCCGGGTTAGGAGAGGGTTTGGCCGGGGGCCTTTACTTGGCTCATCGCGCTCTAGCGACTCCTTGTGGCGGGCCGGGTGTCTGCAGGCAGACCACGGTCACCAGTTGAACAGTGTTTCCTCCGACACATTGGTGCGGCTGGCTTCAGATTTAAGCTGGTGGGTGATAAGGAGTGCGGTTAGGTGGGTCATGACTCCACCTTCACCTCTCCCGAGCCCGTTGGGGAGTTGCAGCGATGAGACAAGATCGAAATTGGGGAGAAAAAAGGGGGGTAAAATACAATAAAATAAATTAAAAAGTAAACATTACAAAAATATGTATAAAGAAAAGAAAAAGGCTGTAATGTAACAAAATGTGGGGTCTGACCGAATGCACTGTACACACACCACACTTTACATGTTGCATTTATATTTCTGTTCAGTGTATATCACATAGAATTACATCAAATTTATGTTAGCTATACTCAATATATACGTTTTTCAAACTGTTCACATTACCACCCCCCAACACATCCAAGGCTACAGTTTTTAATAAGGGCTTATATTCAAGTCCCACTGACAGTCAAATAATTACGCCATTGTCAGACAACGATTGTGGCTGCATGTGACAAGCCCAGTTCTGCTAAACCTGTTCAAATGTACATATATCCAGCTTCCACTGAGGATTTTGAAAGAATTCAGTCCAGAGCAAGAGAGGATTTAAAGCCACATGGAATAAGACCTCCTTCTAGCAGGAGTTGTCCCTCCATATCCCCATTCAAAGACCAGATTTAAAGTAGTGGGGAAAATAGACAAGAAAAATCAGGGTGCTCCTCTGGACAGGGGAGCTGAGATGCTTCTGTTACTAATTTCATTTCCCCATGCAAAGCAATTACACTGAACAAAAATATAAAAACTCAACATAATAATCCATCCACCTGACAGATGTGGCATATCAACATGCTGATTAAACAGCATGATCATTACACAGGTGCACCTTGTGCTGGGGACAATAAAAGGCCACTAAAATGTGCAGTTGTGTCACAACACAATGCCACAGATGTCTCAAGTTTTGAGGGAGCATGCAATTGGCATGCTGACTGTAGGAATGTCCACCAGAGCGGTTGCCAGATAATTTAATGTTCATTTCTCTACCATAAGCCACTTCCAAATGTCATTTTAGAGAATACGGCAGTACGTTCAACCAGCCTCACAACCGCAGACCACGTGTAAGGCGTCATGTGGGCGAGCGGTTTGCTGATGTCAACGTTATGAACAGAGTGCCACATGGTGGTAGTGGGGTTATGGTATGGGCAGGCATAAGCTACGGACAACGAACACAATTGCATTTTAACGATCGCAATTTCAATGCACAGAAATACCGTGACGAGATCCTGAGGCCCTTTTTGGGGGGGGGGGGGGGGCATTCCCAGTCATGTGAAATCCATAGGTTAGGGCCTAATGAATTTATTTCAATTGAGTAATTTCCTCATGAACTGTAACTCAGTAAAATCTTTGAAATTGTTTATATTTTTGTTCAGTATATTGGTGTGTAACTGCTTTGTATTTAATTATGTAAATACTTGTAATTGTATGTGTGAAACTCTAGCACAGTCATAGCCTCCTCCCCAAATATCATAAGATAATGTAAGTAACACAAAATTAGTTTAACACACACCTGTAATGTCCTGTACTTTGTGCAGATTGCAGTAGAACATGTGTACTGCCTCCAGCAGCTGGGCTCCATGACCCTCTCCTTGGAACGGCGGAAGGATCAGCATTTGGCTGTTCAGAAGGACACCAGGCCAACATACCCAAAGACATGAAAGAACAGCCTCACTGACCCCTTTGCCAGACCTCTCAAACCTATCCCTCTTTCACATCACATACATAGGGAAACCTTGTAAACACGATTGATCATGTTTCAATGTTAAGACTGAATGAAAAAAAGAACACTTGACAGAATGGAATAATGTACTAATTGATCGAAAATTGAGGGAGCAATTTTTCACTTCATTATAAGAAACGTAACAAATTGTTATCGTGTCCATCAATACATCAAACAAAATCCTTATTTATAGCCAAAAGCCCCCCCCCCCCCCCCCCAAGACACTGATCATTTGGTTGGATACATAAGCCAGTAATTTGGGATTTTTGTAGTACAAAGGAGACAGAAATGTATAATTTTCCTCTGCTTTTTGGTACAAAAGAATGGGAAGACACGTGCTCCCCTCGCAATTACCTTACACGTGGTCGGGTTTTGTCTGGATACACATAGTAATTATAAACTGTCATGTAGCCAACAGTTGCGAAGAGAGTCTCCCCATCCTTATTGTACTTCTCAAATCTGCAGATAAAACACAAAGAGAAGCAGGTCAATTACAGGCACACTCTCAGGCCGCGTCCATTTTCTCCTCTCCATTCTCCGGGTGCCCCTTTTCAGTGTCAGCATGCTGGAGCAGCCAGGCCGTCCCGATCCGTACACCTGCTACAACCGGAATATATTATGCACTTAATTGGAGGACTGCAACTTAGAGGAGGAGAAGGGGCTAGAGGGGGGATTGAGGCTCTCCACATCACTTCAGTCCATTTGCCCATTGTCACTCTTAATAAGTGGTAGGCTAAAGAAAACACTGGCAGAGGCTCTTTTAACTGTTTGAGATGTCATTCAGTGTTTCAAAAGACAACAGCGTTCAATTCAGCTCTTGCCCTAAACATTTTTTTTTTTTTTTACAAAGGGGTTTGAACACAAAGGCGACTCTTGCCAGATCAACAATTCTCGAATAGCCAGGGAAAATATAATCAAACTGGCCGGATAATTGGTGGGGAGCGCCTCAAAGGAGCCCATTGTTTCTCAATGAGACAATGAAGGGTTCGGGGAGAGCGACGTTGGCTAAGGAGGTCAGACACTCACACGAGAAAGAAGTCCCAACGATCGTCGTCCACGTCGATGAAGCTGGCTGTCTCAATGAACCACATGAGGAAGGTCTGCAGGCGCCCGTGGTAGTCTCGGAATCCCGGGCACGACACGTCCACCTAGGGAACACAACACATGGAGAAGGTCTGAGGACAATCAAAGTCATGATAAATAAGCAGAGCACTCTCTCTTATACTGAAATAATCTGCAAATCATACAGTAGGCATGGAAAGCACTAATATTTGTAGGCCTATATTACAATCTAATGTTTTTGTATACTGTAGGAGCAAGGACAAGCATGTGAACCTTGTAAATCTGGTAGGTAAAGTCTTCTCCCTCCTCCACATTGTGGACATGGTATGTGTGAAGCAGGGTGCCGAAGGGTTTGAAGTTGGTCTCCTTCTCCAACAATGAGATGAAGTCGTCCGTGTTGCAGCTGAACCCAGCGGGGATGATCTCCCGGATCTTCCCTTCAACATCATCAGGCTGTAGGTAGGAAAGAAGAGGGTTTACTAGAACATGAAACAAACTGACAGCATCTTGTATATGGAAAAGTAGCCTTGTATTTATATGCATTGTTCCATTTCTGTTACGTTTGATTACAAGCAAGATAAGATTGCAAATGCCCTCCCCAGTAAAAACGTATCACCTTCCAACATACATTTGAAATAACCCTATTTCTTAAAAATGTAGCCTAGGTCTTTAACAGTCGTTTCCCCTGAGTACAATGTGTTTGTTCTTTGATATGGTTTCATAATATCGATAAAAAATGGCCACGGTCTTTATTTAAAAAAATGTTTTACCAACTATACTATAGACAATACAGTAATATGGAAAACTGTGGAAATTTTTCTATTTTCCATATGTAATCACTAAGACCAAAAAAAAAAAAAAGATCCTATTGTTCTGTAATTAGGCTATGCTCCAGCCCTGATTGACAGAGAACACGAGGAATTAGTGAAAGAATACATATTTTTGTGCCACAAAAAGGAGAACCATTAGGCAATTAAGACTGTCAGCTGAGTGGAGACAATCACCCACCCCCAACCCCTTGGTGATAGAGCACTTAATTGAATAAATTTACTACTTATGTTAAACCATGAATATTTTATGAAGTCCCCACAATAACGTATTTCTGCTTCTCACTGGGCAATAAAATGTAATGAATTGATCTCAACTTAACAAACCCTGGGCATCCATAATAGAGGCCTTTCCTCTAATCCTGGCAAGTGAACTCAATCAAATGAATTTGCCCCCACGTTTCAAAGAGCCAGGCGGACAAAGGCCCCCCCCCCCCCCCCCCCCAGACTTTTTACTCACTAGAATGTGTGGTTGGTTCAGCTGTGATGTTTGCATTGTATCCATTTCCACAAGGATTGACATGAGAACACTTTGTATTAACTTGCTAAGCAGCCCTTTCACACCATTTACATGCGTGATGGGAATTAGTTCTGTACAGAGACCCTTGTTGCTCGCCATTGAAAACAGGGAAATGAAGAAGGCCTGAACAAAATGCACTACAAAAGGCTAATAGAACACACTGCTAATTCCTCTCCTTTCAGACATCAGCTAATATCCAACTGGAAGTAATGCACCTGCAGCTGAATGCCACTTCACCATTGTAATTGTTCAACTGCATTTGAAGAATAAGGAGCTGAAATAAAAGGCCATGGACAAACAAGTCATATTGTCCAAGGCACTCTCCTATATACTAGACATTAAAATTGCACAATCCTAGTTCGGTATAGATTTGACGTAAAAATGCATCTTTAGAACATTTTGTTTAATCTGAATGCCTTTTATCTTCGGGATATAATTGATCATGTGTACACATCTTATTTAGAGTAGTCTAAATGTTTTGGAGGTAAAAAAGGCTGATAAAGAACACTAAAATCAGATCACATTATCTTTCACAATCTTTATACGTGTCGCTAAACAGCAAATACATTAAATTAGATCACTCTCAGGGCCCAGAAGGGCACTATCTATTTAGCCCAAGTGTGCTATTTTGCTAACTGTCTAACTTTAAAATAAAGTTCTGTTATCACTTTCTGCTTAAATTAGAGAGGAGCTTGAGCAAAGTTGTAGATCTAACATTATCTTTAGTTGGAAATGTTTTTATTCAAAAGATTGCCAGTGGCTATGGTTTCAGCCTCAATCAAAATCCTAACCAGACATTTGTAGGTGTTATCTATACATTTTACATCTAGGCTAATATAGACACCAACTGATTCCCCCCCCCCCAGATTTTCACTAGTGATGCCCGGTATGAAACAATGACTGAGAACAAAAATGATGTTCGACTGTGTGGAGTCCATCATTATAGCATTTGGCTGGTTTAGGGTTAAGGTGATCTCTGACAAGTCTTCCATTTGAGTAGCAGCTGCATGTTGAACTCTGTCCCACAGCTCCTGTCCTCATCCTCTCCAACTCTCACCAGCTGCACTACACCCAGCCACAGTGAGCACACACTCACAGACAAACACTTCAGATGCAGCCTGAACTCTGCTGCTCCCTAACTCTCTACCTCACACCAGCTGCACTAAACCCTTAACGAGGTGGACACTCGTGGGTCAACGCTGGCCTGGCCGTCATCATCAGAAATGATTTTGCCTTGCTTTTACATCCGAGTACTGTTTGTTATTTGGAACAGTATAGACAGTTTTGGAAATACTGAACTAAGAAAACTATTATCCATAAGAAAAACATTTTGCACTGATAACTGCTCCGTCTCTAAAAATAGGATATTGCCGCTGCCTTTGCTAAAAAAATAAAAAAATGTTACTACTGTCAACGCACTTCACACTCAATTAAGCAATTTATTCCCATTCTGACAATTTTAGTGGAACACTTAACATTCAGTCTATCGTACTAACGTTACACCCAGAAATGTAGAACTGCTGTAATTATATTCTGGTAACACGTTAACAACATTGTCTTCTTGATATTGTGGAATAATGAAAATCATTGAACTCCATACAATGACAAATTACAATGTAACAACATGTTAATACAATGTTACTGGAGCAATTACGTCAATGCTATGTGTAAAGCCAGTGAAGGGTTACTGGCCATTACTTCATTTGGATCGCTTTCAATTGAAAGCACCATACAGAATAGCTGATGACCGGGAAAACTTTGGCAGAAGTTCAGAACTGTAGTTTGTTCATTCTAGGGACCGTTCTTCAGTGATCTCCCTCCTGATAAAACACACGTTTGGGAAACATACCCCAGCAGGACATATTCCATTTCCTGCAGATTATCACAGAGCCACTCAAATCAATGGCTAAGCCAACACCCCCAGATCCTTCCCTTTCGGGAGGGAGGGATAGGATTAGAGTACCAATGGCCCATGTGGCCTATGATAGACTGGGAGTGGTCTGACAAAACATGAGGTCTCTTACATAGCTGCTGCATAATACCACCACTCAGAGGTTCTGATCACTCCAGAAGGCCCACAGAAACATGCACAAAGCAACCCACAAAAAAGGCTCACCTCCAACTAAAGCAGGCTGGGAAACTGGACAAGTTCCAGAAGAAAAGCCACTAGAAGGATACTGAGGGTGGTTAGTCACCTGACAGGAAAAACTGTAGTCCATCATCACCAAGTTTTCCCTGGTCAAGTCATGTGGTCGAGAAAACCTCAGTCACAACGTGGGGAGATGGGGCCCATCTCTGAATGGCTATAGTTTGGCAGGACATCTATTTTTTAGGTAACAGAGTCAGTGTTACTGTGCTTCGCATAAGTGACAAAAGGCATAATTTCAAACAACTCTTACCTCCACACAGTCAAACTTTTCTGTGACTCTGGCTGAATATTTCACTTTGAAGAGGGTGCTCAGGTTCCCAGCACTGTAGTACAGCTGAATCTGAAGGCCTTTGTATCCAAAAGCCACCTCACTGAAGGGGGAAAATACATTTAAAGTGAATAAATAAATGAGTTAGCATTCACAGAATCCTGTTATCAACTGTTTACGGTCATGCAACCAGCACACAGATGTAGACTTCACATGGAGATACTGTAATGTGTAATGAGATTCACAAAGACCTTATTGGCAGAATCAGGTTTGATACTCACTCATCACCATAAAGCTGGTGGCTGTACTCTGGATGGAATGTTGTGCTTTCATCATCCACATCCTCTGCGAAACGGACTGAGAGAAATAGTTGTTGTTAATTCTTTGAGTTAGAGGGTGTTGTCAATAGACAGTCAACATATAAAATATTGCATTATGAATATGAAACACTCAAAGCGCCATCTACCAAACTACACATTTCAGTGTAAGTAGCTACTTTATCTCAACAAAAGTAAGAGATTACACAAAGCTAAATAAGTTGATGAATGAAACAAACCTAGTTTTAAGCTGATTGCTTCGTTGGTGTCACACTTATATTCTGCCAATTTCTTCTCCATTGGGTTCATCCCTGTGGGTCAAAACAAACTTAATTTCTAGCTACTACAGTGGCATCATTCTCCATTCTGATTTGAAGACCAGGTGGTTAGTTTGCTAGCTAGCAGTAAAGCAAGACAATAGTTAGCAGGCCTATTCTTGTTTACAAAGATAGATAGCTAGCTAGCTTGCTTGCTTGCCAGCCACTGGCGCAGCATAGTTAGCTAGCTAATCCACATGCATTGAACACTGAACTACTGAAGCAACACTAAACACACCATGGTGAAGCATAGCACAACACATAGTCGATAGCTAGTTTCATTTGCACACCATAGTTACAAGCTATTGCTAACATGCAGTCAAAGATACTGGCTCATTCTTCCATCTGTGATGCAGTTCTACATTGAGGATCTGGCTAGCTTGTTCATAGCCACACCATCAACACGGACTCAGCAAGCTGGCTAGCTAGGGCCAGAGCCTCTGGCTATGGCTAACAGTTAGCTACCTAGCTAGCTAGCTAGCTAGCTTGTTTGCCAACTGGATTGCCTGTGACAGCAACATTCCACGCCCTCGAAAACTCAAAGAGGTAAGCACAGCTATCATACAAGTTGTAATACAAACCATAAGACGGGTTTTGTCCATTTAAATCATTTATATACCGTTATTTACGTAGCTATTACTTACCCGCCATTTCTGTACACTGCTGCATCTCTGTTTTCGTCAAAGGCCCGCGGAAAATACGCGCCGAGAACTTCCTGTTTGCGCACGTGTTTCCGCCGCATCTGCTGTATGCGGAAGAAATCCCTTTCTTTTATCATAGCGCTCTCCCATCGATTTTTTTACCACCCTTCCAGCGTATGCTACAGTTTAACCACAAACGATTGCGCATCACCAATCAATGGAAAAAAATAAAACACTTCTCCGTACAAGTGTATCCCGTTATTATTTTACTGACGAGAGGATTTATTGCTGTGCGCTATTATATTCTATGATATTCTATTCTATTCTGTTATTATTATTATTTTATTTTATTGTGGTCCTCTGTAGCTCAGCTGGTAGAGCACGGCGCTTGTAACGCCAAGGTAGTGGGTTCGATCCCCGGGACTACCCATACACAAAAAAAAAAAATGTATGTACGCCTGACTGTAAGTCGCTTTGGATAAAAGCGTCTGCTAAATGGCTTATTATTATTTTACATAGGCTACAGGTAGCCTAAAAATGTGAATCCTTTTAAAATATAAAACTTCATTTCCCCCCACAATTTAACACTAACTATTAACTATTCTTATTTATTTGATTTCCAAAAGACCAACCTCCTCGCACACACTAAAAGTTTAAATAACATTTCAAAATTCCTCGGGTGATTGACCTTTTATAGTACTCCCATAAAGAGAAAAAAACATAAAGTGTACTGTCACGAAATAGCCTTAGAACTCCAAGTGGGAAGCACACTCTTTTATGGTAGGCCCGTGTAGCTCAGTTGGTAGAGCATGGCGTTTGCAACACCAGGGTTGTGGGTTCAATTCCCAGTATGAAAATGTATGCACTCACTAATTGTAAATCAGAGCGTCTGCTAAATGACTACAATGTAAATGTGGTAAACGAAATTGACCCTTTAAATGTCCCATTATGACAGTCCACCGCAGACTTAAATGAAGCATTTGAACCTTGAAAATTGTCTTTCAAAAAGTGGATTATAGTACAGTGATAGCTCAATAAAATAAATGGCCTCAATGGGGGAGAGTGCATGGCTGAACTGTGGTAATGCTGTGCTATCATCCCTGCCATGGCAATTCTGTCCTCCAGAAGCACCAATGACTGACCCACACGGTCATGTTTAAGCCACTATAATTTTACCCCTACCTACTACTCTGACAGCACTAGATTATCCCTTTCCTGCAACAACATCTTTTACTGTCTTGCTATGTGTTAGGGTGTCAGTATGGAGGCAATACATGCAGCTTGATCTCTAACCTTTATGAAATATTTCTGGTAGAACCAGAATTGCCTTTTCTGAACTCTTGTCTAGAATTTGTGCAATGTGTAATGTGTAACTTGTTTGTGTCCGTTGATGAAAGACTGAAAGACTGAAAAACTGCTTCTATCTCCAGGCCATCCGATTGTTGAACAACCATCACACCATCTCCTATAGTAAGAGACAAAGATAGACTCACAAAACACACACACACACACACACACACACACACACACACACACACACACACACACACACATACACACGATCAGACTCCTATACTCACATATACACTCACACACACGCATACACCCATACTCACAAACTCACGCACACAGCCACTGCTGCTGTCCCATCTACAGAGACATTAAACAATGGACACTTCCCGTTTCTTTTATACTGTTTTTCACACTATGTATTCATATACTGTATTCTTCACATAGCTCATTCTAATATATATACTACTGTACATTGCATTTTGTTACACTGTTTATATACTGGATTCTTTACATAGCTCACTGTAATATATCTACTGCTGTAAATATCCTTCTTACTATTTTTGGTGTATATACACAACAATTGCATTTGGATTACTGACACAGTGCTATTTGGGTTGTTAATTGGATTCGTTCTGACATTCTTGATTTCTTGTTTCTAGTTTTTTGATATTTATTACTTGTGTACTTGTTTGACATTTTACTGCACTGTTAGGAACTAGTAATACAAGCATTTCACTGCACCGACTATAACATCTGCTAAACTGTGTACGCAACCAATAAACTTTGATGTGATTTGTTGTAGCCTATTTACATTTGTGGTTTGACTGTGTTTCTCTTTTAACCTTTATACATTTTGTATCACTGTGGTAACAGAACATTATCATACAAAGCTTCTGCACAAAGCAGATAATAAAGTATGTTCTAATGCAAGAAAAAAAAGCATTGGATGGTTTTATGAGAAATCAATTATTGAAACCAAAGAGAAAACAAGCCAGACAGTTGCCTTCTCAATTTATTTATTCATGACATTTAATATTCCAAGTGCACAAAATCTTTAAAATGTTTTTTAATTCATCCCCTATAATAGTCCCTGGATACTGGATGGACATGAATAGTAATGCAACATTTGACCCTTGTGCACCTCACTGGAGCTCACATTTCATTAAGATGATAGAAAAGGTGTAATAATTTTGGACAGCATAATTTGTAAAGAGGTTTTCACACAGTGATCACTTTACACTTTGTGCACAGCTAGTGTAGCCTAGTCATCTGATGATTTGTTTAAGTTGAGCATGCATGCTATAAAATACTGTATCTGCAGGTTCAGATAGCCCACACAGTAGTGCATCATGTCCTTATATGACCGCAGGAATCATGCCAGACTCTGCTGACAGCTGGCATACTCCCATTGCACAGTATCTCGTCAACAGGGGACACACCGGGATACAGTTGCCTAAAATACATTGTTATTTAGGTCTTCAATATTGTCATGCTGTTATCTCCGAATCAAAGCCTCCAGTAGCCAAGCGCCTGCGCTGCTAGTCAACGTGACGTCACACCCAGCATGGCGGTCAAGGTGACTGTCAATATTTCTTATCAGAAATTGATATTACCTGTATTTAAGTTGTTTATTTCTATTGGATAAGGACTTAAGCGTATTGATGCGGAAGCATATATTATTTACTTTTTTTAAGCGAACAGAATGGTCCTCTTTCAGCATCTTTTCGTGGTCACGTCGGCCTTGGAGAGAGAATTTAGTAATGTTTACCTTGTTACAGTGTGTCGTTTATTGATCTAATGGAAGTTATTCCGCTACTTTAATTGTATAGCAAGTTTATTGCTGTGAAGGTCGAGTAGACGGTTCAATAATGATCATGGCAAAGGCGACTGTTGCTGCTGGCAGGGCTGAAATTCAACTGTAGACTACGAGTCCTGTGTTTTTGCTTTTTCAAACATCGAAACTTCAGAGACAAGCAACCGATTATTCAATGCAGTAATGATTTTATTATATTGTAGACAATGCGGTGTCGTTGCGTCCTATGTCATTGTCATACTCTCATTGCATTACCAGATTCCTCAGGGTTTGGCTTTGATGACTCCAACTGTATGTTTTAGGTAGAAACAACCGCAAGAGGCGATTCCAATGAACTAAGGACTATATTTCTGAAGGTAAGACTGTCAGTCACAAGGGGATCTTTAACCCAATATTGCTATGGCACTAAAAACATCATTCTTTATATTCTTTGAGTCTGAATGCAGCAGTTCAACTCTTATTATTATCTATCCTGTTGCCTAGTCACTTTACCCTGACTTCATGTACATATCTACCTCAAATACCTCGTACCTCTGCACATTGATCTGGTACTGGTACTCCCTGTATATAGTTCCATTCTTGTGTATTTGATTTTATTCCTCTTTTGTTACCTTTTTTATTTGAATTATTATATACATATTTTTTAAACTCTGCATCTTTGGGAAGCAAGCATTTCACGGTAAAGTCTACACCAGTTGTATTCGGCGCATGTAAAAGTTGATTTAATTTTAATTTGAAAAGAGCATGTAACTTTACATTGGTTGTCTTCAATGATATAAGGTTATAACCTTGATTGTATGGCAAAGCTACAGTTAAACAAAGTTAAATATGATATTATTGGCAGCAGGCCTACTATGAGACCATAATTTAAGTCTCTCTCTCTCACACACACACACACACACACACACACACACACACACACACACACACACACACACACACACACACACACACACACACACAGTCACACAGAGAGAGAGAGAGACTGAGCGTGCTGCGTCTACTGTCCAATACTACAAGGAAAGGTCACACAATGCTTGGACTAATTCTGGCTCCCGTTCACTGAGGAATTTCTCCTTCCCTGACTTCTTTTAGGCTGTGACATTTGCTTGGATTTTCAGATGTCTGGAAGATTCAGATGTTTTTGCTAATAATTTGGACTATGCATTCTTGTGCTTTACAAAGTCCCACATAGTACCAAGAAGAAGGGTGTAAGGCCATTGATTGGAGGAAAATATGCCTCCAGCAACAGACAGCGTTAGGGAGGGACTTATTATTTGACCTAGTACTATTTTAGGATCTTCTTCTTTCTTCATACAACACTGCACTGATTGATCTTGAAAGCATACCAATTTATATTAGGCATAGCTGTTCTAATACACACGTGCAATAATTAGTCATAAACATATCACTGTGAAATAGATAGTTAATTAATGGATGAAAGGGCCATTTTGTCCAAATTGCCTGATCTTATCAAGAAGCACTTGAGGCTTACTGTGAAGTTGAGTTGATGCCAATATATGTAGTGAAGAAATGGGTTAATAAATTGGTTGGAATTAATACGTTCACTTAAAATATTAACTAAAGAGTGTGCAGTGAGATGTGGTCTGAAATGCATTCTTTGTGAAGGTCTCTCTCTCGGTCTATCTCTCACTCTCTCCTTGGCTGTACACCCAGAGCCTGGCCTTTATGCTCCTAGTTCATGCAGTGATCCAGCTTGTAACCCAACCCTGACTCTGAAACTGACCTTTTGTTTTTTAAGCCTAGATGAGAGGTCAGTTTTAGCAACACAAGGGCATGGGTTGCACGTTTTGCAGCATAGCAGAAAAAACAATGCTGTTCCATTTTTTTTTCTAAGCAGTGCACATGGATTCATTTAGAAATGTGTGGCAGTCCCTTGCATTGCCACAGCTAAAGCCCTAATGTCACATATCATTATACACTGCTCTAGTACTTATCTATTACATTGTACTTAAACATCCCATATTGTATATTAAATATAGTATACTGCACTGCACTTATCTGCATACATTATTTTGACAATTAACATGATAGTGGTTTGTGAAGCTTTGTTGCCTTGATGGCTTCCTACACTACACTACAGCTTGTGCTGGGTTATTGTGGGTTAAACCACAAAACTCCCAGATTTTTCTGTAGAAGGTATTATAAAGCTTGAAAGTGTATTGAATTGTTTTGAAAGCAAGTCTCTGAAGTTCTCTATCTGTTTAGTCACTGCAACAACTGAAAGAAATTACTAGAATACGATGAATTGCAAAAACGAGATGGTTTTGAACTATGTCTGAAAAGCACATGATGGGATTAATATAAATCACACGGAGACAAAATCAATTGCGTTGACAGACACTGCATCAGGTTGTCTGAACAAATCATTTATTTTCATAAGTTAAAAAAACAAGTGTTGTCAGATAGCTGTTGGGGGAACAGTGATTCAATACAAAGACAGGCTGTTTTGGGAAAGGGACTCCCCAAAGAGTTTTGCATGAGTATGTTTCTATATTGAGTTTCTGAGCATTTATATTTAACACTAACCTGGGTCTTTTGTCTCCCCTTCAGCATGCCAGTGTGGTTGAGGATGGGGATCGTTACATGTCCCCCAGGGACTTTGTGCAGAACTTCCTGGGTCTGCACAACCAGCCCGACCACAACCGTAAGACTGTGCAGCTGATCGCTGGAGTAGCCGACACCAGCAAGGATGGGTAAGTCTGCTCCCACTACAGGTGAGGTGGATGATCTTTGCTTATAGTAACCTTGCTATAGAAGGAGTTAAACAAGAGGTCCTTCAAGACATCATACAGCGAAAATGGAATTTAGATTTTTGTAAGAAAAAAAGGATCATAACACACTAACACGTTTTGATGACAGTTCCACTATCTACACAATTCCAATGTAACCCATGTTGATACACACAATGTGGTTCAAAATGTTACATGTATTGGCGTAGATAAGGAGTAGTAAAGAGAAATCCGTAGCAAGAAGAAGTTAGGTTAATGATTGATCACAAGGTTGTTCACATTGCCTGAATAGCCATCTTTATCAGTTGTTTAACACCCATGCTTGTTTGATTGAATATCCACCTGATAAGATAAGCGGCCATATTATTTCCATAATATTATTTGGGCTTTGTAGGGACATGTCCTTTTTTCAGATAGTACTCTTTCTTTCTTGTCCAAACAGACTGATCTCTTTCCAGGAGTTTCTGGCCTTTGAAGCGATTCTGTGTGTTCCGGATGCCCTTTTCATAGTTGCCTTTCAGTTGTTTGACAAGACTGGCACAGGGGACATCTCATTTGGTATGTACATGGAGATGCCCAGTGACCTGGTGTGTGGGGATGTTCGTCCTTTTGGATCCCAGTCCTGTCTGTTTCATATCATAATCATATCATAGCTAATGGGCACAGCATCAGTAGAGCTTTTACCTAGGGGCAATGACCAGACACTTTCCCATTGTGCAAGATCCATTTCTATGCAAGAAGTGGATATCATAAGATAACTATATCTTATTTATAACTAAGTACCTTGTGGAAAAATTGGTTCTCTATAGCTGTTTTCAGTGTAGAAAATGAATGTAGGTCTCTCATTTTACTCCCAGTGCTCAATGTGTGTTCAGTTTGTCCACTAGTGTGTTTCTCTATACTGGGCTTCTGGAGACTGCAGAGTAGTATAGCGTCTGTCAGTCAGCTGCTTCTATTCTAGAGGTCTCTTCTAAGAGAAGAATTGTCTCAGCTCTGTGCGAGCTGTGGGTAATACCACATCATAACAAGTCCCATGTGACGGGGAGAGATGAATCCAGCGTGACACAAAAACAGGGACAAAAGAGTTGTTGCAATGCTCTTTGTGCAGCATGGCACCCATGAAAGCAGTGCTCAGACACAGAGTGACCTAGATCTGCTTAGAACTCACACAATATGAAAGCACTGGGATTGTCAGCAAGGCCATATTTCTTTTCTGTGCATATCAGGTTCCCAGAAATGAGATAAGGACATACAGTGGGGTCCGAAATTATTGGCACCCTTAATAAAGATAAGCAAAAATTATTGCATAAAATAAATAATTCAAATACTGAGATTTATTGTATGCTCAAGAAAATTGGGAAATTACATTATTTTATACTAATACAATTGCTCAGAGAAATAAAAAAATGTTTTTGCCGCAAGTGGATCTTCCAGCAAGGCAATAACCCCAAGCACACATCAAAATCCACAAAGAAATGGTTAATTGACCACAAAATCAACATTTTGCAATGGCCATCTCAGTCTCCGGACTTGAACCCCATTGAAAATCTGTGGTTGGAATTAAAGAGGGCAGTCCATAAGTGCAGACGAAGGATATCAATGATCTGGAAGGATTCTGTATGGAGGAATCGATCCCTCCCAATGTGTTCTCCAACTCATAAAATATTTTAGAAAAGGTATTGAAAGTTATTGAAAACAGGGGTGTCAATACTTTTGACCCATACCTTTTTGAGAAAAAAAAGATTACTTGTTAAACAACATCTATTTCTCTGAACAATTGTATTAGTATAAAATTATATAATTTCAAATTTTTTGTTGCCATACTATAAACTGTATCTCACTTTTAATTTATATGATACAGTCATTTTTGCATATCTTTATCAAGGGTGTCAATAATTTCAAACCCCACTGTATATTGTATGGTTGTTTTGTTTTTTCTATCTCTTGATGTTACTCATCAATCTCTCATTTGGCAGCTAATGTGCAGGACATCTTCAGCCAGACCACAGTGCACCACCACATCCCTTTTAACTGGGACTGTGAGTTCATCAGGCTACACTTTGGCAATGACAGAAAGAAGAACCTCAGCTACCTGGAGTTCACCCAGTTTCTGCAGGTACAGTATACAGTAGACATTACTAGACACCTTATGAACCATACAAATACAGTGCATTTGGAAAGTATTCAGACCCCTTCCCTTTTTCCACATTTTGTTATGTTACAGCTGTTATGTTACATGTTTAAAAATGGATCAAATTATTTTTTCCCCTCATCAATCTACACACAATACCCCATAATGACAAAGTGAAAACAGGTTTTTAGAAATCTTTGCACATGTATTTAAAATTAAAAACAGAAATACCTTATTTACGTAAGTATTTGCTATGAGACTCGAAATTGAGCTCAGGTGCATCCTGGTTCCATTGATCATCCTTGAGATGTTTCTACAACCTGATTGGAGTCCACCTGTGGTAAATTCAATTGATTGGACATGATTTGGAAAGGCACACACCTGTCTGGATAAGGTCCCACAGTTGACAGTGCATGTCAGAGCAAAAACCAAGCCATGAGGTCGAAGGAATTGTCCGTAGAGCTCCGAGACAAGATTGTGTCGAGGCACAGATCTGGGGAAGGGTACCAAAACATTTCTGCAGCATTGAAGGTCCCCAAGAACAGTGTCCTCCATCATTCTTAAATGGAAGAAGTTTGGAACCACCAAGACTCTTCCTAGAGCTGGCCGCCCGGCCAAACTGAGCAATTGGGGGAGAAGGGCCTTGGTCAGGGAGGTGACCAAGAACCCATTGGTCACTCTGACAGAGCTCCAGAGTTCCTCTGTGGAGATGGGAGAACCTTCCAGAAGGACAACCATCGCTGCAGCACTCCACCAATCAGGCCTTTATGGTAGATTGGCCATTCGGAAGCCACTCCTCAGTAAAAGACACATGACAGCCCGCTTGGAGTTTGCCATAAGGCAACAAAAGAACTGTCAGACCATGAGAAACAAGATTCTCTGGTCTGATGAAACAAAGATTGAACTCTTTGGCCTGAATGCCAAGTGTCACGTCTGGAGGAAACCTGGCACCATCCCTACGGTGAAGCATGGTGGTGGCAGCATCATGCTGTGGGGATGTTTTTCAGTGGCAGGGACTGGGAGACTAGTCAGGATCGAGGGAAGGAAGAACGGAGCAAAGTACAGAGAGATCCTTGATGAAAACCTGCTCCAGAGCGCTCAGGACCTCAGACTGGGGCGAAGGTTCACCTTCCAACAGGACAACGACCCTAAGCACACAGCCAAGACAATGCAGGAGTGGCTTCGGGACAAGTCTCTGAATGTCCTTGAGAAACTCCCCAATTACATGTGTGCCAAGCTTGTAGCATCATACCCAAAAAGACTCAAGGCTGTAATCGCTGCCAAAGGTGCTTCAACAAAGTACTGAGTAAAGGGTCTGAATACTTATGTAAATGTGATATGTCCGGGGTTGTTTTGTAATACATTTGCTAAAATTTCTAAAAACCTGTTTTTTCTTTGACGTTATGGGTATTGTGTGTAGATTGATGAGGGGAAAAAACGATTTAATCCATTTTAGAATAAGACTGTAATGTAACAAAATGTGGAAACAGTCAAAGGGTCTGAATACTTTCCAAATGCACTGTACATGTTTTTTAAATAACTTTCATGCAGGAAGTTATTTTTCTATCATGGTTTAGATCAGGGCTGTTCAATGTCGGTCCTGGAGGGCCGAAACACTTCTGGTTTTAATCCTCTCCTTCTAATAAGGGACTAATTCAGACCTGGGACACTAGGTGAGTGCAATTAACTACCAGGTAGAAACAAAAAACAGAAATGTTTCGAGCCCTCCAGGACTGGAATTGAACATCTCTGGTTTAGATAGACAAGGGCATATTTTAATAGCATAACAAATACACAATTATGTAATGTATTAAAGCTGTAACACATATATGTAATCACTGAAACAGGGAGGGCCATGTATGTATTAATTTTATATGAGCCATAAACCATTAGTATGGCTGTGGACGTAGCTTGTTTGGAATGATGGGGTTTGTGGGTTCATATGCAGCTGGGTGGTCTGGGACTTGGCTGGGGTTCCGCTACTCTACTGTGTGTAAACCCTCATAGCAGTTTGCGGTGGATCATGGTTGACTAAGGGTTCCCACCAGCCCGTCAAGAATTCTTGTGTGTGACCCTTTTCATTCAAACCAACATTTGCTTTAGCTGTTATTTCGCTGCTGATGTTTTGCAACATTGTTTCCAGCTAATAGATTCTTGAATGTGATTCAGCTAAATCTAACATAGTCATAAACAAAACTGCTGAAAGTTTAGTGATTTTTTTGTGTGCAGAATATGTCCTGCCACCTTGTGGAGGTTATATTATTCTCAGAATTGTCTAACTGGAATAAAAAAACATCACTATTTGTAGCGTACGTCTCATGTGCTGCAATAGCCATCAATAGTGCAGCAGCCTAGTACATTACCTGGATTTGGGTATCAAAGTATTCCCCAACTCTTACAAGATGTGGAATAAAAGTATACAGTATAAAATGTTACCATTGTCATGATGGACTGTACTCTGCTATGGCCCGATGAGTTATGTAGATGAGAGGGATCCGCTGGTTGTATGTGATCAGCTTTGACATCAGTGCTGACCCTGGGTCAGTGGCCCCCGTGATTCCCCTCTGATTGCATGGCTGTCCTATTGAATCATCCCCGTGCTCCTCCGGACACACCTGCCTGCTCTCCTGCACAGATCTGCGATCAGACTTCAGAGGGACATGGTTTTCATCAGACTCCTGAAAGACAGCTGTGATTACAAGAGCCAGGGTCTAACACTGTCTCATCTGATGCTTCCACATGTGCCAAGCAGCGTCCGACATCATCCAACATCATGTTTTCTTCCCCAATGTTCCATTTCATCCCAGGTAATTGGACGCGTCTATATCACAGGAGCCTGCTCTTTCGATCTTTTGTTAAAACTTTGACCCTTTCCTTTCATTGTAGGAGCTGCAGTTGGAGCATGCCCGCCAGGCCTTTGCCCAGAAGGATAAGAATAAGAGTGGTACCATCTCTGCCATGGACTTCAGCGACATCATGGCCACCATCCGCCACCACATGCTCACCCCCTTTGTGGAGGAGAACCTGGTCTCAGTGAGTTAGAGACAGCTATGGTCTCCCAATTTCAACATGAGATTATTGTATGAGGAGACCTCACAGTGTCTGTTCCTCTCTCCTCTAGGTCGCTGGAGGCAGCACCTCCCACATGGTGAGCTTCTCCTACTTCAATGCCTTCAACGCCCTCCTTAACAACATGGAGCTGATCCGCAAGATCTACAGCACACTAGCTGGCACATACAAGGATACCCTCGTCACCAAAGGTAGCCTAGTCCTGCTGAAAGTGAGGGATTATGATTTCATACATGAACTGAGGCTGTTCAGTACCATCATGGGAGTTTCACCTCTCTTGACAGAATGGTGTCAGGAAACACAAGAACATTTTACCCTAGCTCTAAGTAAATAAGGTAAATGTACACTGTAATATTCTGTTTTATTAGTTTAGTCTGTTCCCTTAGATCTGTGGAATTAATAGTTGACCTGTTCTGATGGTGATAGTTACCTGTGTTATAGGAATTTACCCTTTACCCTTTCACCTTTAGACTGTACAGCTGATGTGGTTGGTTATCCTTGCAGCAGGCCTACCCACCCACTGTATCTCTAAATCCCTAGTCTTAATAAGTGACCCCCTGCCTGGTTTTCTTACATAACATGCCTTCCTCTGCTCCGTATTCTACCACAGAGGAGTTTGTTAGTGCTGCCAACAAGTTTGGTCAGATCAATCCAATGGAAATTGACATCCTGTACCAGCTCTCTGGCCTTTACGCTCATTCTGGGTAAGGTTCAAACTCTCTCCAGTCTCAGTGACACATCACCGCTGCTTTGTGCTTTTTACTCACACGCATACAACATGGTATTTGCACTGCCAAATATTGAATTACTGTCCTCCCCATTAATTCAATATATCTAACACATTTATTGAAAATAGCTTTTTCTGATTAATCTGTGAATGGAATAAAAAAGTTACAGCTATATTTATTGGATGTAAATTCTAAGTTATTGCCCATTCAGTTTAGCAGTAGTGGCTCTACTGGTTGATGTACGAAATAAATCTAAGCATGGATACAGACTTTATGATGCCAGTGGGGAATATATGTGTCTCACTGGCATTAAGAGAGCTTCATTTACTGCTTGAGTTTTGGGCATATATCCAGCTTTGTTTGTCTGTTGTGTATACAAACTCATATTAAAGCTGCAATAACCTCAAGTTATATGGCCATAAAATGTCTGTGGAAAATCATGCATCAACTCCGTGTGAGGGATGCTGTGTTTGGTTTTCCTGGCGTAACATTGTGATTCTCCCCTGCTGTTCTGAAGAAAGCTCAACTTGGCAGACATTGAGAGGATAGCACCGTTGGAGGAAGGCGCACTCCCATATCACCTGGCTGAGATCCAAAGACAGGTACCTTGCCTGAATGACTGTCCACATGGAGCTTACCTGCTGCCTGTTATCTGCTGCATCCCTTGTTTCCCCCACTATGCTTTCTCATTAGAGAGCAACGAAAGGGAGTGTTTAATGATGGAATTAGCAGAGTGCCAATGTTTTCTCTTTCTTTGTGAATGTGCATTACACCACCTAGGATAAAAGTCCCCCCCCCAATTATAGGTACAAAAGAGGAATGGATTGTTGCAATGTTCCCTTTTTCTAAAAGCCTGTCCCATTTTATTCAGTGTAGACATATACATCAGACGCAATCATACATCTGAGAATCTAATAGGATGCTTTTATCAGGGTGGCTTTTCAGGAGTCTGCTAGTGTGTGAAGCCTCTGGCTGAGTCTGTTTAGAGTAGGAGGCTAGGAGGATGATGAGTGTGCTGGAGAGAGGTGGCTCTGGGAGGGAGGAGGAGGAAATAGTTCCTATCTTTCCAGACGACACAGCTCTGGAAATCAGACTGTTGTCAGGCCTTGGTCCACTCATGGTCCGGGACTTCTGCTCTGAGGTCTGGAATGTGAATTTGGGAAAAGGGAAAGACGCGAACATGTTGTGCGTTCTCAGGTCCGCCCTTTGTGGAAGTAAGGTAATTGCTTAAACTCTTTGATCAAGGCCTCGATCTCATTAGCATGCTGCCTTCAGTGAAAGCAGCTGGGTAGGATGAAGGGCCTGGTCTGGGAGATGTTGCTCACTGCCCCAAGGAGGGCAGACACACTCCAACTGTTACTCAGCCAGTGTAATCATTCATGTGGATGCTTATCTCTACATGGGAAAGGCTTGTGGGACTAATCTGTTACACGGCACCACAGAGAAAACAAAGGGGCTCCACTTTCAAGATCAAGAACAAAAGCAGAGATGAAACAGATAATGCAAAATCCTAGTTATTAAAAAAAATAGGAAAACCCTTAGCTTCCAGCCTCTACCTAGCTCCATCGTAATCAATGGATAGCCCTGGAGAGTTCTCCTACACAGTCATTTACTGTATCCGTAGCCAGAGTGTCTATGTCGGTGACATACAATACTGGCTTATGAATAAGACTTTTACCACGACGAGATGTCTACATTCCATAGCTATCCTCCTCTGTTGAGTGGTCCATAACGTTTTTCTTTCCACAATGTATCTGGTTCACTACAGTTTAATAGAAGTTGATTATTTCCTGGTGTTCTGATCCCCCGTCTTTCTCCACATCAGTTTATTTTCTCCCTCCACAGCAAACTCATGGGGATCCACATCGGTCCGTCTTGCTCCAGGCTGCAGAGTCTGCTTACAGGTTTGGTCTGGGCGCACTCGCTGGAGGTGAGTGACATGTCTGTGGCAGAGCCCCGGGCCCACTGAGGGGTAACCCAAGCCGGTCAGACTGGCGCACTGAGGCCCTGGGGCCAGGGCTGCCCATTGTGCTGCAGGGAGACGTGCTCTGATCTGAGGCTCCCGCATTGTGCTGCTGTGCCACTGGTGGCTCCAGGCTGTCTTTGGAGCCGGAGCTTTGGAATGACACAAATCTTCCGGAACTGCACTGGAATCTCTGTCTAATTACACTGGGAGGAACTAATATAACAGCCATTGAGATGTGTGTGTTTGTGCGTGCGTGCAACCAACATGCAACATTCTAAGAGCCTACTGTCTCAGTGGGTCTTTGATCTAGAAGCTCAGGAGGGTGATCAGTTCTGAATGATCAATGGACAGTTGAGGGTCAGAAGTCTTGTGAAGCATTGTGAAGACGGTGCCTCTCCATGGCGATAATGAGACCTTTCCCACCCTCTCTTGCTGACGAAGGGTGAGAGAGCTCTCTGCATGCTTGAGAGCCCGAGTCATTACAGGGCCTTTGATGTCAGAGACAAGACATGACAAGCCGCTGTGGCTAAGAGCTGCATTTAGGGCAACCTGCTGCATGGCTGCATCCTCAGACAGTAGACACCCTCTACACTATGGCTCTCCTACAGACTCCTAAATAGTCACTACTCTGTCTGGGCCTAATGACTGTTTTTAACTCCTTTATATGCCCACATCTCTCTATTTATCACTGAAGCAAAACACTAAAACACCAATCTTTAGATATACCCCACCTAAAAACTGTCTGCTAAATAGTTAAAATAATGATAAAGATATTTGCTGTGTCTGAATATATGAAGATCATAGGATATTATCACCAAGAAGAGTATGTTGACGGTGTGAATACAGTTTGTTGATGATGTTAATGCAGTATGTTGATGGTGTGAATACAGTTTGTTGATGGTGTGTTGATTGACATTTGTGATTTGCAGCCACCGGTGCGACGGCTGTGTACCCCATTGACCTGGTGAAGACCCGTATGCAGAACCAGCGCTCCACCAGCTCCTTCGTAGGAGAACTAATGTACAAGAATAGCTTTGACTGTGCCAAGAAAGTGCTCCGATACGAGGGATTCTTTGGATTCTATAGAGGTATAAACTAAAGCCTGGTGAATGGGTTTCTATTATGTAATGCTAGATACGGTCATCTGGTCTGGCACAAATGGTGGCAAAACAAGTTACGTTGTTGTGACAGTATCATCATCAGCATGTTTTGCATAATAACAGAAACATTTACCAAGTCTATGGAAGGTCACATTGTCATTACCTAGCTAGCTGAAAAAGTCCCAGAGGTAAAAGAACTCATGTAGTACTGTCAGATCCATGTTTTCCAGTGTAGTGATAACGGTGCTGACGGCTTGTGATGTATAACACTCCCACAGTGAGGGCTCTCAGATGAAGGAAGTCAAGACTGCCATCTACTGCTGCCTCTGCCACTGCAGCTCTTTGTTTATCCTCTCTGCTTGGCTTTCCCCCTCCCTCTTTATCTTTCCACACTGATCAGAGGGGTGATTGACTGAGAGACAGACACGCTTGGCTGTTTTCTGGCTGCATACCACAAGCAGTCACTCAGCAGCTCCTTCAGAAGTTTATCTGGCTTGCTGAAGGACGGACGGTGAAATAGTACGGTGGTTATCAGCGCTATAGCACTGCCCCCTCTCTCACCAGGGCCACACAGCTCTCTCTGTTCTACACCACACAGGGATCAGTCCACAACAATACTGAGCCCATACAACTGCCAGTGTCATATTTGAGCTTTTTGTCCATTTCAATGGGAGCCATTGTCGTTTGGTTCATCAGATGTAGCAGCCGTATCTGTCAATATTTATGGGTTTATTTTACCCAGACAAGAATCATGCAGATTTCATTGTGGTAACTGTCAATGGATATATTCATTTCCAGTCGGAGTGTCTTCCTCTGTCAGGTAATCTAAATGGTCTCCATGAATACTGTTTTTCAGGTCTCGTACCACAGCTTATCGGTGTTGCCCCAGAGAAAGCTATCAAACTGACGGCAAGTCATTACAAACCCTTAGAGTGCCTTCACTTTCATTGCACAAGAAGGAAAAGTTGTACTATTTGTATGTTAAATATGAATACTGTCTCACAGAAAATACAATATGTGACTAGATGCACTCATTGTCATTCTCTTTGAGCATTTCTTTTTTTAAAGATGTACATTGTGGTTGCCTGATTCTCTTTTCTTACAGATGAATGACTTTGTAAGAGACAAATTCACCACAGAGGATAACACAATTCCCCTGTTTGCAGAAGTCCTGGCTGGGGCAACTGTAAGTATTGGTGTGAGGATGTCTTCGTATAGACAGTCTGTCTATTCAGAGTGAGGGCTGAAAAGACTTGTGTGCTTCATGCAAAGCAAAGGGAAAGCGTTGGCAGCTGCTACATTGACTCGCTTAAATCTAATTGATCTTGATGTGGGGGAACTGAAACAAGATTTTTGTTGAAACTAAAACATTATTTAAGATTTTCTCTTTCAGTTTGTGAACATTTGCATCTCATGGGTGTAAATTGTGAATTCCAGATATTGAGCTAAAGGGGGCCATTTTTGTGGTTTTCCAACTCTTTCAACTTTAAGGTTTAGCTTAATTATTTCTGACTGATCTGGAACCACAATTATAAACTTTTCATTTTCAATTTGAATTACGGACATTGAATTATTGTATATGAATTTAAGCTCTAATTCAAGTTTTCCGCCAGTGTATTGACATCCTAAATAAGTGGCGGGCTGGATAGAAAGGTGCTCTTTGGTCTCTGAACCCTCTAATTGGGCACAATTTGAGAAATTATGTCTGTGAATGGAATATCTTTTACCTCAGTGTGGTAATTTGGCACCCTGTAACGTTTGGTGAGTGCATTGGTGGATTAAAGCGTGTAATTCCATCACCCTACCTCTCTGCTAAATTAGTCTAAGTGAAACGAAACAGACAGGGCGGGGAAGAGAGCCTGCAGGTTGCCTACGGAGGGCAGGGTCTGCAGGGTTGTGACCCCTGTCAGCCTGTAATTGGAGGAAGAAGGCCTGGAGGGCCCTGGATGGAGCTGGCTTTACCTCACTGTGATTGAGTTTGACAGGACTGCACATACCTGAGGCCTGATCTGCCATGGGCACCACAGTTCCATACACCATACAAGTACAACAACAAGCATAGTCCCAGTCAGTATTAGATAGAATGCCCACCTGTATGGAAAACAACCTGTTTTAGGTTACCCCATTGGCTCACAGCAAAAAGCTGACCCTTTTCAAATGCAATTTTCTTGTTGTCTGCTTGTTTGAGTCAATTACAAAACTACATTTAAGAAAAGTACAACATTGCCTGCTCCAGAGGATTCTCACTACTTATAAAAACGTTATATTGTAGGGATTCCCTCATGCCCCTTTTCATGACAGTGCTAGCAGCCACGTGACTGAGTGCTAGTTAGCTACCGACCGGAACATTAAGCTAGCCAAGACCAACAACACAAACAAACGGACTATACAGCTACAAGTAGTGAGTAGAGAAACAAATGGACTATACTAAACAAGTTAAATGTCTTACCTGTGAATAAATGTTTTCAACACACATACTGTAGCTACGTGTAGCCTACTTGGACACCAGGTCCCCACATTTCCCACTCTCCCATGCTGAATAGCCTGAAGCCACAGGGCTCTTCTCGCAGGCTCTATTTCCCTACGTGGGAGCATTGCGATCCGTAGGTCGGGATGTTTGACCTGGTTACATGTACATTGAACAACACAGCAGCTTTTCGGCATGTTTTGCTTTTTCTGTACAAGTAAAAATCTACAACGAAGTTGGCACTTTTACGATGGGGGTGAATGGGAAATAATGTTTGTTTTCCCCAATGTGTGGGTGTTGTCGAGGGAAATTCCTTATTATTCCGTTAATATCGACTCGGGAGTATAGCATGCCCCCTAGAACTTTCAATTATGGTAACCTTCTAGTTCTGGTGAAGGACTCCACCCAGCAATATTATTAATCTTATCTAATATACTACGTATATTTATTTATGCTAGATTCTTCCCATAGTATTAATTTCTTGCACATCAGATGAACATGGTCTTCATGTAAAGTGGTTTCACATTGTAGAAGGCAAATGTTTTGCTAGTTTGTGGAGGTGGACTGTAAGGTTATCCCTCCTGACTGAGTGAATAAGTGGAAAAGATAAAGAAGATAGATGGGATGAATGCATACATCTTCAGAGTAGCGGATATTCCCCTTCCACTTTGAAAATGACTAAACGTGCCTGAGCTTTTTTTAGGACAGCGCTCGGATGTTTACAGATAGGACCCCTGCCCTCTGTGTCACCAGCAGGCATCCAGAGGCCTGATTCAATTTGGGGAGGGTGATAAATGTGCCTGAGTCAGAGAGGCTGCACCCTGGGGCGTCCCTGCCAGGGTCCTGAGCAGAGCAGGGTGATTCAATGCACTCCCCTGGGAGTGGGGTGAATTGGGGAAGTGTGCGGGGCGAGGTTGGGCTGGGCCACTCACCCCTCCACAGGAGGTGCCTGGGGGAGAGGGAAGGGGCAGAGGGCTGGTGCTGGGGTCAGGGCCTTCTAGCCATAAGCAAGGCTTCTCCTCACACCACGCCTGTTCCTCCCTGACCCCACTGTTTCCTCCCTCAATGCCTGCTTGTTTCTCCTGCTCCCATCAAGGCCACTTTCTGACAGCTTGACATCAGCACTTGAAAAGAGTGTCTTTTGTGTTTGAGTTTACCAAGCTAATTTGAAAATGCTTATTGGGGTGAAATGCTTAGACGCCATAAGTCATTATCATCCTCACCACAGGCTGACCACTGAGATGTTGTAAAACCTATTAACCCCACTTAATCATAGGACACAAGTAAAAAACAAAAATGTACGATTGTCTTGATTTACTTACTGTAAGTGATAACTTTCATTTGACCATTTCAGTTTTTCATTATAACACAGAACTGATGGTTGCTGATAATGGGCATCTGTACGCCTATGTAGATATTCCATTAAAAATCAGCCGTTTCCAGCCACAATAGCCATTTACAACATTAACAATGTCTGCACTGTATTTCTGATCAATTTGATATTATTTTAATGGACAAAAAAATTGCTTTTCTTTCGAAAACAAGGACATTTCTAAGTGACCCCAAACTTTTGAACGGTAGTGTATATATTTTTTGTGAGACAACGTACGGCAGAAAGAGAGCAAGACAAAAATAGTGCATAAAATTGTTTTGGCAGATTGAGACCTACACTGCTGTGACTGGTGCGCTGTGACATGTACCATTTGTTTCTTCTTACCCTTAACCTGGGTTGTGTTCTGCAGGCTGGAGGATCCCAGGTGATCTTCACCAACCCTCTGGAGATAGTCAAGATCCGTCTCCAGGTGGCTGGAGAGATCACCACGGCCCGCAGGGTCGGTGCCCTGACCGTGGTCAGGGACCTGGGCCTCTTTGGACTCTACAAGGTGGGTAAACCCCTCTACATCATCAGCTTCACTAACACATCACACATCACCTCTTAAAACCTATGTTATGGCCTAACTTAATAACCTGTGCATGATGTCACCCCCAAGCGTAGCTTATGTTGCTGTGATGTCGAACAATAAATACTGTATGACTGTGTAACAATGCTGATATTACATAAGACACTTTTGCAATATGAGAGTTCTGATGGGCAGGCACAGTCTGTGGTAGGACGACTAGCTAGAATCCCTACTGACTGTTATAATCATATTATTTCTTTCCAAAACAGTGTTTAACATGCAGAGAGACCACGGCTGCCAACAACCAACAGTAAATTATGCTTAGCTACTGCTCCTTTCCAAGTTCTTGTCGGTTTACTTACATCTCGAGTAATGTGTTCATGGTTCATATTTTAATGAGTAGCAGACAATGCGGAGCTTGTTAAAAGAGACTGACTTCCTCCCTGCGGATGGGCCCAGTAGACCATGGGTCCATGTTAATGCCGTCTCTGTGTGTGTCTGAGAAACTGTGTGCTGTGCTGGGAGGGAGAGCTCTCTGGGGGCCCCGGGGGAACCATGGGGGGTAGCAGCACTGCCTGAGGGCCTTCTGGCTCCTGCTGTGACCGACCGCACCGCCAGGTTCCTCTGTGGGTTGGCTGAGGCTCACAGCCTGCCAACAATAATCCACTGGAGCTCCCAGGCCAGATGATCCCAAAGCCACAGCGGCCGCCTCAACCACTGCCTTACCCTCTCCACCATCAGGGTCAATCATATTGGAAAATATTCAGTGCATTAGAATATTCAGCACAGAAGAATATTCAGTACAGTAGTCCAAATCTGGACTAAAGAGACCAGATGTCTACACTACTTAACTAATTTGTTGTTGATGATTCCAAATAAACCTGTGCAATATTCTATACTGTATTTCTAGTATATAATTTTTTTTTCTAAAAGCACTCTAAGCATCATCCTGAGAAAATATTTTACAGAAATTCAGGCAGGTCTAAATGCATTTTACATTTCATGTACCGTGAAAATGCGATATTCTTGCGGGTGTAGTTATTACATAAAATAAATCATTTTGTGTTTGTGTGTCCTAGGGAGCGAAAGCCTGCTTTCTGCGTGACATCCCGTTCTCTGCCATCTACTTCCCTGTGTACGCCCACACCAAGGCTGAGTTTGCAGACGAACAGGGCAGAATTGGACCTCTGCAGCTGCTCACTGCTGGTGCCATAGCAGGTAGCTAGCGCTATCAACCACAGCTGCAAACCTCACCATCTCAACTTATAGACATAGCATCAACACTAGAGACCTGAATAAATGCTTCAATCAATTGAATATTTTATCATATATATTCTATATAATGGTAATACTTTCTATAACATGTACAGTAAATGACTGTACATTCTGTTCCTTTTCTATTTTAAACCTGGCATTGTACTGCATTGCTTGTCATCAGTGGTGATACTATTCCTGCATAGTGAGAGTGCCTCATTATGTGGGTTGTGCAACACCTCCTAAGGTATACCTGCTGCCTCCCTGGTGACCCCTGCTGATGTCATCAAGACCAGGCTCCAGGTGGCGGCCCGCGCAGGCCAGACCACATACAACGGAGTCATAGACTGCTTCAGGAAGATCATTGCTGAGGAGGGCTTCAGGGCCCTGTGGAAGGGAGCAGGAGGTAAGCACGCACACATGCATGCGCTCCACAAATGAGCAGTTTCATGACTGGGAAATGAGGCACTCCTTGGCTCCCATAATTGCTCTCTTGAAGACATCAGAGAAAATGTGAAATCCCACATTGTAATTTCAACGTCTCTCCCACCAGCCCGTGTCTGCAGGTCCTCGCCACAGTTTGGTGTAACCTTGGTGACTTATGAACTCTTGCAGAGATGGTTCTACGTTGACTTTGGAGGACAGTGAGTATTTCTGTCTGGTTCACCCAGTGGCGATGTTAGCATGTAAATCATGGTGGGGCAAAAAAACAAAACAATGGGGGATGCATGCCACTATAACGGTGACAAACGGTGCCCACAAACTGTTATAAAGCTGTCCCAACAGCAGAGCTTTCTTTTCAGCACCATGGAGTGAATCCTTACCACCGCTACACCTGGCTATCAGCGGAGCCTTGTCTGGCAGCGAAACAGTTCATTCAGCCTAATTTATTGCCTTTAAAAAATATATAGCTGATATGGCTGAATTGCTTAAATAAATGTGGTTTCTACTGACAATTGAGATGTACAAACTATGGCATAAGGGAACGATGAGCTGATGAGGGGCAATACGTAGTTTAGATTAAGACATTAATGAGCAAGCTAAGACGGATGTAGTCAATATAACTATTTGATCAGCACTTTTGAAATGTACAGTGACAGAATTCAGAACATGGGCCATTCTTACATTATTCTCCCTGTACACCAAGTCAGAACCGTAGGATAAATAAAGGGGGCATATAAGCAATATTTGATCATGACATTTCTCTAAAACAGGTTATAGGCTACATGTGCACCACCAAGTCAGAACAGTAGGCTACGTTATGAGGGGGAAAGGGACCAAATTATTAGGGTGAGGCATATGGGCTACTAACAGCTTACTACACAACATACACTTATTATTACTTTCTTAGCTACAGTAAACATACAGTGGGGGAAAAAAGTATTTAGTCAGCCACCAATTGTGCAAGTTCTCCCACTTAAAAAGATGAGAGAGGCCTGTAATTTTCATCATAGGTACACGTCAACTATGACAGACAAAATGAGAAAATAAAATCCAGAAAATCACATTGTAGGATTTTTAATGAATTTATTTGCAAATTATGGTTGAAAATAAGTATTTGGTCAATAACAAAAGTTTCTCAATACTTTGTTATATACCCTTTGTTGGCAATGACACAGGTCAAACGTTTTCTGTAAGTCTTCACAAGGTTTTCACACACTGTTGCTGGTATTTTGGCCCATTCCTCCATGCAGATCTCCTCTAGAGCAGTGATGTTTTGGGGCTGTCGCTGGGCAACACGGACTTTCAACTCCCTCCAAATATTTTCTATGGGGTTGAGATCTGGAGACTGGCTAGGCCACTCCAGGACCTTGAAATGTTTCTTACGAAGCCACTCCTTCGTTGCCCGGGCAGTGTGTTTGGGATCATTGTCATGCTGAAAGACCCAGCCACGTTTCATCTTCAATGCTCAAAATCTCACGATACATGGCCCCATTCATTCTTTCCTTTACACGGATCAGTCGTCCTGGTCCCTTTGCAGAAAAACAGCCCCAAAGCATGATGTTTCCACCCCCATGCTTCACAGTAGGTATGGTGTTCTTTGGATGCAACTCAGCATTCTTTGTCCTCCAAACACGACGAGTTGAGTTTTTACCAAAAAGTTCTATTTTGGTTTCATCTGACCATATGACATTCTCCCAATCCTCTTCTGGATCATCCAAATGCACTCTAGCAAACTTCAGACGGGCCTGGACATGTACTGGCTTAAGCAGGGGGACACGTCTGGCACTGCAGGATTTGAGTCCCTGGCGGCGTAGTGTGTTACTGATGGTAGGCTTTGTTACTTTGGTCCCAGCTCTCTGCAGGTCATTCACTAGGTCCCTCCGTGTGGTTCTGGGATTTTTGCTCACCGTTCTTGTGATCATTTTGACCCCACGGGGTGAGATCTTAAGTGGAGCCCCAGATCGAGGGAGATTATCAGTAGTCTTGTATGTCTTCCATTTCCTAATAATTGCTCCCACAGTTGATTTCTTCAAACCAAGCTGCTTACCTATTGCAGATTCAGTCTTCCCAGCCTGGTGCAGGTCTACAATTTTGTTTCTGGTGTCCTTTGACAGCTCTTTGGTCTTGGCCATAGTGGAGTTTGGAGTGTGACTGTTTGAGGTTGTGGACAGGTGTCCTTTATACTGATAACAAGTTCAAACAGGTGCCATTAATACAGGTAACGAGTGGAGGACAGAGGAACCTCTTAAAGAAGAAGTTACAGGTCTGTGAGAACCAGAAATCTTGCTTGTTTGTAGGTGACCAAATACTTATTTTCCACCATAATTTGCAAATAAATTCATAAAAAATCCTACAATGTGATTTTCTGGAGATTTTTTTTTTCAATTTGTCTGTCATAGTTGACGTGTACCTATGATGAAAATTACAGGCCTCTCTCATCTTTTTAAGTGGGAGAACTTGCACAATTGGTGGCTGACTAAATACTTTTTTCCCCACTGTATCTCCCTGGCATATTACATCATTTATGCAGTAGCATACAATACATTTTTGGACTCACCATTGTGCTGTGCTCACTTGAACAGGAAGGTGGCGTGGCGGACCTTCTTGTGGGCAAATTTTGTTGTGAGACTTTGTCATCAAAGTCTGGCATTCTCTGGATTTATGGTGCTTTCAAGACAACTGGGAACTCTGAAAAAAACAAGGTTGAATCATGACGTCAGTGATCTTCAGGTCAGAGCTCTAGAAAGAGGCCAGAGTTCCCGACTGGGAATTCCGAGTTGGATGACCGTTCAAAACTTATTTTCCTAGTCTGAGCGTTTTTCCTAGTTCCCAGTTGTCTTGAACTCACTGAAGTCTGAGATTTCCCAGTCCCGAGTTTCCAGTTGTTTTGAACGCGGCAGAAGTCATGCTGCATTGACAGCATGGCCAATGTATTCAACCTTTTCTGGCCCATGGTGTTGCATGTGAATGTTTATCCTTTTAAGCTTCGAAAAGAGACCCTTAAACCCAGACTTGGACAACACACCCTATCCACCAAATAGCAGGGGAAGCAAAATAGTGATTGCTCTGCAATGCTTGCAGTTAACCACTGATTCCTTCCGAACCACTCATTGTTGAATTTGCGATTTCCAACATGTTGTGTTATGTTTATGTCCAATGGCCGATGAGCACTGATACGTTTTATCTATAATTTCTCTTCATATGACAAGGATTGAACAGGATTTTCCAGTAGATTTTCGACCTGATGATGACTGCTTGTCTAGCTTGCTAGCTAAGATTTTGAAAGTATGATGTTGACATGATCAGTCCAATCAAAGCTACAGTAGATATAACGTGATTTGACATCCTTTGTCTGTGGCCAATGACCTTGAGCCTTCTTGGATGGGCACTTCTAATGTAAATCTATGGCAGCACCCAAGGGGCCTTGAACTTTCTAGCTCTCCCTGTAGATTCTGCAGTGACGTAGTGTCCCCATGAGTGACAGAACACTTAGCCAATCACATCGAAACTAGAGAACATTACCAACCCCTATGCTCTGTATTTTCCGCTGGCTGCCCCGCCACCACAGAAAGCACTGAGCTAGGCTGAAACACCTGCATTTTGGAGCTGCCTTACTCAACAAAGCAAAAAAGAGACCATGTTTTTATTGCAGCTTTATTGACTCAATACATTTTTTTTTTTTTACATTGTTTGCAAACTGATATGTGACGGGTATTAATGCCAAAATAACATGCAAAACATGCCCTGCCCTGAATGAAGTGTTGCCACTGGGTTCACCTTTAGTGAACTAAAGTATTTTGTCTGTATGTTAATTATCCTTCCCAAATCTTTTGTCCCCAGTCGCCCCACTGGCTCTGAGCCAACTCCTAAGTCGAGGATCTCCGACCTTCCCCCTGTAAGTGCCGACCACTTAGGAGGCTACCGTCTGGCTGCTGCCACGTTCGCTGGCGTGGAGAACAAGTTTGGTCTACACCTGCCCAAGTTCAAGTCTTCTGGAGCAGGGTCTGTTAGCCAAGCCCCTGCCCCGCCCAAAGAGGAGCCTACGGCCTCGTAGGCTGTCTGTCTCCCCCTCAACACTTAACTGCTAAATGGCTGCATGCTCCTTGAGTCGGGTGTCCTACAATATCTCCATCCCTTCATCCCTCTGAAATGGTTTGGTTAAAAAAAAAATCAGCTCCTTCATTCATAAGCATTTGAAATACTTACTTTGAATGCTGCATGAATAGTGCTTCCTTGGTTAGTCTTTGTATTACATTTACATTTTAGTCATTTAGCAGTCACTCTTATCCAGAGCGACTTACAGGAGCAATTAGGGTTAAGTGCCTTGCTCAAGGGCACATCGACAGATTTTTCACTTAGTCGGCTCGGGGATTAGAACCAGCGACCTTTCGGTTACTGGCACAACGCTCTTAACCATTAAACTACCCGCCTATAGCTTGAACAATGTTACTGTACATATTGTATTTCTCTGAGAGGCATTTTTCATTGAAAAGGAGGGGTGTAACTACTGCATTTCTCAAAACGAGACTGGTGAGGAGGATGTCATCTCGTCAATCACATTTCAGAGACTTGAAAGGATGTACAGATGTTTTCTAAAGTATTTATTTTGAAATCATGACCAGGGTCTTGGGAAATCATTTAAATGTATTTATTGTATTTTGATGAAATAAATCAAAATGGTTTAATTTTAAATTGTGAAAAAAGTACATTCTGAGATTCATGACACGATATGTGGGAGACATTCTCTGTAATATCTAGGTCACACAAAGGACCGCTTTTGCTTAGACACGACAAAGTATGGATACGGAATTCATAGTGCACATAAAGCAATTTTTCCAATACAGCATAATATCCTCAGGTAGTTCTCCCTCAATCACAAATTTCTAAAGATTCTGGTTCTGATATCATAAGTGTCAAATTTAGTTTAAGAGCAATATTCATGTACAAAGACATTGACAAGTTGAAGAAGAAACGCTACATTTTTCCATATATTACAAAACAAGTGGATATTTGGTGCATCTAGGTTAAAGGAACATAGAAAAACACTGGCTAAAAGTATGATGAGACCACTACATTCCTGTGTGTAGTAATGATGTGATGGATCTACTACAGTTGAAGTGGACACGGGCATCGAAGCACAGATGGTGAACAGCAAACATCTGTCATGATGACAGCAAACATGCTCAGGGTGGTGTAACCACAAACAAGTTGAGTGGCCTGTGAAACTGAACCTGAAGCTAATCCCACAACACTACCATATGGATTCAGACACATGAGCTCTCCATGGAGTTGACATGGTACCTTTAAGGCGTTCTGGTTTTTGAGTACTTGAAAAGAGTTCAACTGATTTGTATTGCAGAGTAAGAAGATGGCTTTGTTTATTGTAGTGTCTGAGGTTGATAGCCCTGTTAGTTATCCCATCAGAGACTGGTGTGCTTAAACCAGCTGAAGGAGAAGGCAGAAGTATCCAAGTTAAGTAGCTATGTGTATTAAATCTGACTATAATGTTTCCAAAGAAGATGTCCACACGCCTGAACACTGTCGCAATCGCGTCTTTTCCTCCAATCAAAACATTATGATGCCTTTCCCTGGTCCCTAGACTGGCGTTTCCATGGCGATCAGGCAGAGAGGCGCTGAGCGGCCAGCTCCTCAGCGTCGTCCCGGTTCTCGTTGATCTCCGCCAGGGTTCGGACGAAACGGGTCCACTCGTCGTTGCGTGGAACGGCGATTTGCTGGGGGGAGAGGAAGACAAAGCATTGATATGGGTGAAAATACTAACTCATATTGTTGAAACTGGGACACTTTCAGGGGGCAGGGGATCACAGGCAATCTTCTAATTGTCACAGAGACTTGACCTGTCAGTGGCAGAGATCAGGGTGGGGGAGAGCTGCTCTCTGTATCTGCAGCTCACTACTCAGTGACATGACTGACACAGACACTCAGACAGACCCTCAGGAGCCGTCTCCATCCAGATAGCTGGCCTCTGACAAGACAATGGCTTAATTGTTGTCCCGAGACATGAAGCATAAAGTATTACCAGAGCCCCTTCACCTCCACTTGAGGTATAGGAGGAAAATAGGGAATAACCCCATTGAACCTCTCAAAGGAACATTTGAGATTTAGCCTAGATCTCAATTCTTGCTCAAATGTCTGAATGTAAAACCCCCTTCCAAAACATATATGAAGAATTCCATGCATTTTATTGGCACAGTAAAGGCTCTTAACCCACTCACCTCTCCAACATCATAGACCAGAATCTGGCCATCAGAGTCTCCCACGGCTATCTCTTTGCCGGAGTGGGCCCATCGCACACGGTTCAGGGCTGGGTTCCCCTCCACTGTGGTACTGGCTGTGGGAACCTGCAAAAGAAACACCTCATCTGTCAACACCTCATCTGTCAACACCTACAACACCAATACTGATGACTGACTGGATTTCTGTTACACTATGGGCCGGTTTCCCAGACAGATTAAGCCTGGAGAATCTGCTTTTAGTCCAGGACTAGGCTGAATCTGTGTCGGGGAAACCGCCCCTATAGATGCTGCATTGGTGCAAAACTTGTGGTAAAGGGGGCATGTGCTGGGTACCTCAGTGTCATTGTTGAGGTTCCACAGGTCAAGATGGCCCACTCCATCCACACACGCAAACAGAGCCGGGTGAGTGGGAGACCACATGACATCATAGACATAATCCGAGTTGTCCTCGAACGAGTACAGTGGCTTGTTGTTCTGAAAGAGAGAAACAGGCGGCGCTTGAAAACATTGACCCACTCGGAACTGACCATGCCAAATGCAAATATCTGGATCAATGCAACAACAACAAAAACAGATGCAGCTTTGTGGGGTTAATTGAGTCCAAATTCAACCACAGATATAGGTTGCTTCCTAAATGGCACCCTATTCCCTATATAGTGCACTACTTATAGGGCTCTAGTCAAAGGTAGTGCACTATGTAGGGAATACGATGCCATTTGGGACGCACAATAGTAACAGCAGGCTTTCTAATTGAGAGACGATACAGTACCTTAGTGCTCCACAGCTTGACGGTCCAGTCGAAGGAGGAGGTGACAAACAGGTGGGAGAAGTCGATGGGCCCTGTCGCTGTGTGACAGTCTATCCCTGTGATAGGCCCGTGGTGGCCCTCAAACATCTCACTGATCCCTGCTTTACTGTGGCCCAAACATACAACACACAGCAGATAAGAACGCAATAATTAGCAAACACCATGTTACATACATTTCTTATGGAACCCCTTGATGAATACATTAACCAATAAGAGTCTAAGCCCTGTCCAAGCCGGGGGTGGGGAGGGGGGAGGGGAGGGCCCATACAAACGCATTTAATAACAGATTCATTACATTTACATTTTAGTCATTTAGCAGACGCTCTACTTGGAACAGATAGCCCCCCCCAAAAAAACCTAAAGGAAGTTTGTTCTGAAGTGTCTGTCCTATATCTGAGAGATATAAGAAAGATCAGGAAACATTGTATTTTTTTTATATGAATGTAACCCCTTATATTTGGCACTAAACAGTCTAAACCCTGTCTAAGCCAGGGGAGTTCTACCAAGTTATATGGAAGTGTTTTAAGAAGGTCATACCAAGGATCATTTTGCTATTTGATTTTGAATTTTAGGACCCCTTGAAGTATCAACAAAAATGTTGACCTTAGTGCTATTAGCCCATACAAACACCAAGAATAACAGATTCACTACATGGAACAGCTGGCATTTTGCTTTGGGGCAGGTAGAGTTCTCCTGGCATCCGCCAAACCCAGATTTGTCCGTCGGACTGCCAGATGGTGAAGCGTGATTCATCACTCCAGAGAACGCATTTCCACTGCTCCAGAGTCCAATGGCGGCGAGCTTTACACCACTCCAGCCGACTCTTGGCATTGCTTGTGTGCGGCTGCTCGGCCTTGGAAACCCATTTTATGAAGCTCCCGACGAACAGTTCTTGTGCTGATGTTGCTTCCAGGCGCAGTTTGGAACTCTGTAGTGAGTGTTGCAACCTTAGGGGTTTAACATATATACTTAGTGTACAAAACATTATGAACACCTGCTCTTTGCATGACAGACTGACCAGGTGAAAGCTATGAACCTTATTGATGTAATTTGTTATATCCAATTCAACCAGCGTAGTTGAAGCGGTTCAAGGTTAAAGACGGGTTTTTAAGCCTTGAGACATGGATTGTGTATGTGTGCCATTCAGAGGGTGAATGGGCAAGACAAAATATTTAAGTGCCTTTGAACAGGGTATGGTAGTACGTGCCAGGCACCCCGCTTTGTGCCAAGAACTGCAACGCTGCTGGGTTTTTCACACTCAACAGTTTCCCGCGTCTATCAAGAATGGTCCACCACCCAAAGAACATTCAGCCAACTTGACACAACTGTGGGAAGCATTGGAGTCAATATGGGCTAGCATCCCTGTGGAACGAACACCTTGTAGAGTCAATGCCCCAAAGAATTGAGGCTGTTCTGAGGGCAAAAGGGGGGGTGCAACTCAATATTAGGAAGGTGTTCTTAATGTTTTGGACACTCAGTGTATAATGAGATATCATTACCAACAAAATATAATATGGGTTGTGGAGGAGTATTTCTGTTTGTAATAAAGCCCTTTTGTGGCGAAAAACTCATTCTGATTGGCTGGGCCTGGCTCCCAAGTGGGTGGGCCTATGCCCAGTCATGTGAAATCCATAGATTAAGGCCTATTTATTTATTTCAATTGACTGATTTCCTTATATGAACTGTAAAGAAATTGTTGCATGTTGCGTTTATATTTTTGTTCAGTATATTTCTGAATTTTATAGTACACAAGGTTTGGTTAAGACCTCCCTTTTTGTCTCAATTTACTTTGGGAATAACATTTAGAGAATTCCCTTTTTAACATGCCATGACTGTAGATTCCCAGCGCAGTGGTGAAAGAGAGGCAGCTTTCAGCTCCAGAGCCACATGTTGCAGAGCTGTTACTAGGCTGTGGCCCTGATAATTACGCAGAGAGGTAAATACCCAGCATGAGTGATGCTTATGCGTTATTAACTGGGATGAGAGTATCATACCATTGTAAATTAGGTGGAAAATCAGTCCCTCAATTACAGAGGTGAACCTGCAACGCAGAACCTAGCAACTATCCCCTCTCGGCGGTCTCTGGGCATAATGCAGGACATTAACATGAACACCGTAGCCGTAGAGACATGGCTCTCCGTCGCAGGCAGCACTCCAAGGCAAGCAATGTTGCTCTGTCGCCTCACAAGCGGACACACTGACTGTTTGCTCAAACGAGAGCATTGTGTAACAAACTTCAGATTCTAAGTCTCTTTGAGACACCGAGTTTTAAACAAACTCCCTCACTCTGAGGGAGAACACCTCCAAAAGAAAAGAGGGAAAAAATGATTTGTTTCCCCTCCATGTGTGCCCTGTTTATGTTGGGCGACCTTTACAAACATAACTGACAGAAGCTAAAGCAAAACAGGATGACTGGGGTAGGAGTGAAAACCTCAAACAGCAGGACATCAAGTGTTCGATTCATATTGCTTGGGGAAGTGAGGGGGATATATTTATGTTTTAAACCGGGGCCTAACAAGCCTCCTCAGTTTCCTGGAGGTGTCTGCCCAGCCAGAGAGGACGGGGATGGGGACAGGGGGGACTGGGTGGGTGGGGGATTGGTTGTTGGTGTACCTTCCATGACGACACGCCATGTAGACGGATCCATCTTCGCTCCCCACCGCAAAGTTGTTGACATCTCCGAGGGGGAAAGACATGGAGGTGACAGCTACGGCCTTGGACTGCTTGAACACCAGCTCCAGGCTGTCCTGTAGAGTAGTGGGAACAGAACAACCAGCTCTCTCTCTGCCCGGCCTGCATGTTAACACACACACACACACACACTACCCTAACCACAGCCTATACATTTCACTTGACAGGTTATTAATGCATAATCTAAATTCAGCTAGCACTTTATAAATGATTAACATTTGACGTTCGGTGGGTTTGGCAGCGTCGTCGGAATGACATCGCTAGCAGAGTTCATTTCCTTGCCTTTGAAAAATGAATTGAGCGCAAAATTATAGTTAGTGCGTAAAAACAAACGGCGCGGCTGAAACAAAATGGGTCTAGTGAGGTCCCGGTGTTTGACATGCCCCATGACTGGGCCGACGTGTAGTGTGCGGAGAACAGGCTGAGCGGTCCCGTGTCAGTGTGGTGAGGTGACTGATGGGCGGTACCTACCTGCGGCTGAGACAGCATGTCCAGGCTCCAGGAACACATCTTGCCGTCGGTAGAGATGCTGATGAGGTTGTGGGCGTTCTGGGTGCCCACCACGTTCACACAGTACACTGGGTGCTGCACAGAGAGAAAGGGGAACAAGGCCACACAATGAGGCTGTTTACAACACACCAATGTAACCTGCACTCTGCTCTACTTGCCATTGTATGTGTCAAATGTAACGGTTGAGATCAAAATATATTTTGGTGATGGTTGATTGGCATTCCATCCCATTGTTGCTATACCGTGTGTGCTGCTGCTGACAGGGGGGTCCTCTGTACGGGGGTCCTCTTGTTGCTCCGGTTGTCCCACAGAACGATCTGCCCTGAGTAGGTGCCCCCCACCACCAGGTTAGGGTGGAACTTGGCAAAGGCGGCCGACATCACAGCAGACTGGCAGAGAGAGAGGGAGGGTAAAAAAAAGAGAGAGCGCCATGTTAGCGTCTGCTGAGATGAAGTAGTACACTGTGGAACGGCGACAGCTCTCTGGTAATGTACGTCTATGTCACCTCCAATCAAAAACTGCTGTGTGCGGTCCCCATTTCAGACCTGCTAAAAAGAATATACAGACTTGAACCATTCAGGCTCCTGCAGCTGTATGCCAGCTTGCTGTATAGCAGGCTGCTTCTTTTCATTTCAACTTTAACAATCCCCTGTTTTCCATGACTCACACTTCCCCACTCACGGCAGAGCCTTCTGCTGGAGGCAGCTCACGACAGGACATATCATGTATGGAATATGTCTACATTATTCATGCTAGTTTCTTATGTGTAAAATCTCCTTCCGTGTTCTCTGGCTTCCTGGTCCAAGCCCTACCTTCACCATAGCCTGAAACAAATCCCCTGTAAATCCTAAACATGTAGTCATATTTAATCATTAATTCATCCAAGTACATTTTTAACAAAAGGTGACACTTGGTGAGGAAAAATTGCATTTCCCGCCCACTTGGAGGCATGAAGAAAAATGACTTCACACTTCTGCTCAGTTTTATTTTGTCGGAGCAATGTGCCTGAGACTACATCCGCTCTGGCGGCAGCAACATGTGGTTCTACTCAACCTGCCTTGGTGTGCGAACCTCAGGGCATGCAGTATATTAAGGCAAGCCAGCGGAGGAGCTGCCCTCTCGCTCACTCTCTGCTGAAACACAGGGCTCTTGTTTAGATACACATGATAACCACTCCAGCCCTGCACAGCACACCACACTTAATACGACTGCTGCAGCCTCTTGGACCCCAGTCCGCTATTGCAACACTGCTCTTCTCCGGCGCCTCACTAACATGTGTTTGTGGATAGATGTGGTGGAGGTGAATGCCAGCCCAGTGAAATCACAATGTGGATGGGGAGGGGGGATCAAGGGAGGGAGGGAGAGAGAGAGAGAGAGAGAGGTGGGAGGGATGGTTGGCGGTGTGCCACACTCGTCAGGGAGAGAGCCACCCATGAGGCAGAGGGGAGAGGATGGGGGGGGGGCAAAGAAAGAGAGGGGCCCTGCATGGCTTTAGTACCTGGCAGTGGAAGACGTACTCTGGCGTGTTCTTCTTGTACTTCATGTTCCAGACCAGGGCCACCCCGTCCGGCTCGTGGGGGGCTTCCTCATTGTTGTTGTATGAGGCAACCAGCAGCTCAGGATACTGGTGACAGACAAATCAGCCCAAATGAATGTCAAGAGGAAGTAGTCATGGCCTCCAGGCTTGGCTCCACGTGAACAAGCCTCCCCTGCCCTCCGCGGTGCCGGTGAATGCCTAGCAGAATGCGTAACCGCCCCTCCTTCAACAAGATTTATGGCCGGGAAACTTTTCCCCAACAGCGCAGTCTGGTAAATAACGTTTGGATGCTACAGCTTTGCATAATGTTAAAGGACTAGGGACTAGACTTCTGAGACAGCCGAGTGAACCACAGTAGTAAAGTTGGCCACTCCAGGTCGTTGGAGACCTTTGAAACCCAACCCTCCAGTGCACATTTAAAACACAAGGAGAAATGGCTGAGGAAAGAATGGCTTTAAAATCCTGCTCTCAGCCACTTACCAGATGTAAACAAACCATTAACCTCTGCTGCTTCTCATATTGGAACAACTGAAGTTTACAGTTTGTGAATACACAATTTAACACAAGGGAATGGATTTTGCTCTGAGCGAGCAACGTAGTGGTGAACAATGAGTTGGTGTTCAATCACTGACAGAAGCCATTGTAGAACTATGAATCAAATGAAGAGCGACGTAAGGGCAAACAAATCATTACGGGCTTGTACTAAGTGACAATTTGTGCATGACACAGTCCCAGCTCCCGGAGGAACATGGTTAAATGTCTAATATGTAAAATAAGTCCCATGTATATCATACAGAATTAGGGCAGCGGTGCGGGAGTTAAAGACTCAACAATGCATTAACATACTTAATTCTTACAATAACAAACGCAATATGTGATGGAATTCGAACACACAAAGACAGATTAACATGATTCACAAAGACGCAGGGGCCAGTGAAACCATAAAGAACTATTGCTTGCATTTTCACTCAGGTGACTGAGTCAGTGAAAAAGTAGCATCATGAGCCAACGCTGACGGACGGTACTGTGTTTTACCGGTATAGGGTGAAGTTCCCCATAGACACTGATCTTGGGTCAGTTCTTTCAATGATTAAGGTTAGGATTGGAAAGGGGAAGCTGATCCTAGATCTGCACCTAGGAGAAACTTCACCCCGGAGCATGTTTTACCTGAGGGGACCAGTCCAGACAGGTGACCACACGGTGCTTGGACCAGCGCTCGTCCATAAACTGCCTGTTCAGAAACAGCTTGGCCCCCGCCTGGATCTCACTAGAAAACAGCATAGTCACAGTCAAGTCATAACAATAACACACTCCTTCCTATTACTAAACAGCGACATGATTTTGCCTTTTCTATTCAAAGATATCAAAGAAATGTGCCTCTTGTCTCTATTGGAAAGCTTTCCTTACCCTTCCTTCTCCTCCATCTCGCGACCACTGTAGTCGAAGAAGACGTCCACATGTTCGGACAGAGCCCGCTCCACAATGCGGGTGCTGTGGTCAAAGAAGGTTATAAACTCCTCAGAGTGGAGGATCTGCAGCTTCTCTTCCTCGGTCAGCTCTTGTGGAGGTGCTGCAGACAGACAGTAAAAGTTATGGACAAAGGATACGGAATCATCTAACAGGTTTGGGTTGTCTCATTCGAATTTAAGTCGAAACAAAGGGACATCATACAAAATGTGGAAGTCAAAATCCCACAAAAATGGTTAGTAGGATTATTCAATGAAGATGACATCAAAGAAGTCCAATTGTTTTTCTTTTAGCACCACAACTCCTACCTTCCTCCTCCTCTTTCTGGACAGGTTTCTCTGTTTGGGTCTCAAGCACTAGTTGTGGTGGAGCAACTTCCTCCTCCTCCTCTTCTTCCTCTGTTGGGTAAAAGGTGCATGATTTCAGTTGAACACTATATAACAAACCTGGCAATGCTTTAAATATCATGGTTTAGACTAAATTAGTGATGCCAAATTTGATAGTGACAAATGAGAAATGTTATAAATCCTGGATTATTTCATTTACAATGGTTTAAAGTGACAATTGATCCTGCAATTCTGTGTCAATGTTTGGTTCATTCCTAATGACTACTACTACTAGTCTATCTCTGCAACGTTGTTTTTCTCCTCAATAAACACACTGAATGGTAAGCAGGCTAGCAATGGTATGGGAATGGAATCCTTCTGTGTCTATCTCCCATTTGTTTGGTTTGCCAACACAATGTCACCTCTCTGAAAAGACCTGCGCCTCTAAAGTTGTCATTTGTGTGGACGGGGGGTGACGCAGCAGGGGTCTGGTCCTAAGGTCCCCCCCCCCCCCCCTTCCCCTGTTAATGAGACCCAGCTATTCAACAGGGGGCTTGCACTTCTCAGTGTAGCCATCTCCTCCATGTCCCAGTAACAAGTTCCCCCCTTCCAACCAGGCCAGGGGCCATGGTCCGGGGGCAGCGGGCGGGGAGCAGCTGCCCAGGCCCACTCCCATTGGTCCGACCAGCTGACAGGACGGTGCTAACCAGATGGCGCTGCTTGGATTGTCTTGTTCTACTCAAAGGTGGCATGAGGATGGCACAGAGGTTTTCCGCCTGGCCGCCCCTAGACAAGTCTTTCTCTGAACGGCAAGCCTGTGCAATTACCGTCCCGCCAGGGGGTCCACAGACTGCTATTCAACCTCAGAGAACGTACAACAAAATCCAGCTTGTAGGACGGACCAGCTGGCAAACCACATGCTGGCTCAAACACACTAGACAACTCTGCTATCTCAAACCAACACCTCACCGTCCCCTCTCCATACACGCCTCTTCAATGTATAAATAGAGAGCCTAAACAAACACATTCATGCGGTTGAGAAAATGTACAGTTTGTTACTTCCATACCCTTTAGAGCTCTACATATGCATAGTTCATCTATAATGGCAGCAGCGTTGCACAGAACCGTTTCCTTTCCACTGAGATCTATGATAATGTCATCAGTCACTTTGCCCATATGAAGTGATTCTCTTTCCTCCCTTCCTATTAGGTGGGAGGGCATTGGGTGCTCTGATGAGTTTACAGAACTGGGTTGATGATGAGCCATTTCAATGGATGGCCGTACCCTGAGACCAAATGGAGAAGGTTAAAATCTTTCCTTTCAAGGGCCTCAATCAAGCTTAAAGGAAAACAGTAATCACTGTCTTTCAGCTGGGCCCGGCCGCGCTTGTCAGCCGTTTCCACGGCGAGGCAGGCAGAGCAATCAACCTGCCAGGCATTAGGAGCGGAAAGACAATCTGAAAATAAAGGGTATAATGCACCTGCCAGCCAAAATAGCCATTTGGAGAAAATCTAGTGATCCTGGTGACCCCGCTGGGGTAACGGGGGGTAGGTGGGTGGGGGTGGAGGACAGAATCAGGGGTGGGGGGAAACATTTAACAGAATTCAACACGGATCAACCATGTCCTGCACACTGACACCTCCCCTCAAAGCAGGCCCAATTATGGCTTTTGTACCACTTAAGAAATAAAAGCTTTTTGGGGGAGTGGTGCCGAGGGAGGGAGGTGTAATCACAGGTCTTTGTCAATAGACACTATATTAATGCAAACGCCACGTGGGCCCACTGTGTTGTTCAAGTACAAAACTAATGACCTTTACTCCCCACTGCAGGTGTGTTCCTCTCGTCCACAGCCAAAGGATGGACAACACAAATCTGACTTCCACATGTCAGTTTACTAAAGGCTGTTCCACAAACCTCAGCTTCCATCGGCTGATCTTTCTAGATGAGATGCGGAGACAGCACACGGTCTGTCAGTAGAGAGAGAGCCCACTTAGTGCTAAACACAGAACACGCCTTGGCGTCATTCAATTCACTGCTAGTTTTCAATCTGTAAATGAAAATGCCCTTCCCTTTCAAGTCTAAAGTAAACAGCATTACTCATAACAACTGTTCACAAATCACATATGAGAAGATTCCTTTTAATTCTGTTATCCTATTTATTGCATTTGCCAGCTAAAATGAATGGCAAGATAATTTGACATCTCAATGCCCCAAATGTATTTTGCTACTATCAGAAGCAGGTCAAGTGCCAAAATATGTTTACGTGCATAGCATAGGCCTGCATCACATTTTCTTTAAGTGTCAGATACGGATTTACTAAAGGGACAACACAACACAGGAGATTTCAGCAGTCACCCTACTGCTATTCTGATGAGCAGGTTAATCAGGGTTCAGTCAGCTGTGAAATGAGAGGCTTTTGTTGAGTTTACACACTTGGAGCACTGGTTACCTCTGTCTCTCTATCCCTCTATATAGGCTCTCTTTCTCTCTCAACAAACAGACGATTGAGACACAAAAAATACCTTTCTGTGAAGATGTGATTCAGCAACAACAACAAAAAAATCGACCCTATAAATCTTTCTTTCTGGTTATTTTTTCACATTCAGATCTTTGAATAAACTCTACTAGAATTGATATGAGCATGCTGAAACTGTAGTTAAAAATGGTAGCCTTACATTTTATTCAACAATACAGTCAGTTAAGGGGTACTAATCATCAAGTGCCAAGCGTATGAAAGGTGACAATGTTCTAAGAGTGCCACTTCAAACAAGAGGCTGTTGAGTTCCTTCAGTGATTAAAAGTTATGGCCTTCCCTTGAATTCCAAGTGATTAAAACAATTGAAATTAATCATATTTCAAATGTACTCAAATGCTCTCTCTTGTATTGCCTGAAGCATTTTTAAAACAGGAGTTCCAGGCAGACCACTCAATGAATTACCCTATATATTTGTTCCATAATTATAACCTCTTGCTAAGCAGCACTTATTGACGTTGCATAAAGTCTACTGCTGTAGCCTGAACACGCTAATGTTCTTCATATAGCCTACCACTACATTTGATTTCTACACACTGTGGGCCTGATTCACTGCTTTTCCTTGCATGACCTGGAATGGGAATTACAATCATCCCAAAAAAACAATGAGTATGACTTTTATAAATATTGTTGGGCCTAAGATTTATGGGGAAAGTTTTCAATCTAATAGATTTTTCCCACCAGGTCACTACATTTGTGTCTACACAGGACTCCTAGTAGCCTATATTAGAGGCAGTCTAGAGCAGTGGCTTTCAAACCTCTGCCCTGGGACCCCTAGACATTTCACAATTTAGTTGTAGCCCTGAACTATTTCACCTGATTCACCTATTCAAGTGCTTGATGATTAGTTGACAAGTTAAATCAGGTGTGATAGCTGTGGACTAGTTCAAATACATGGAACGGCTGGGGGTCCCCGAGGAGAGGCTTGAAAACCTGTGGTCTAGAGGATGGGAGACCCTACACCACTAATCAGCTTTTTGTGCCTTTTTTGGAGAGGGGTGGGTCATCTATGGGGACCATTTGGGATCTCTCTCTCCCCCCCCTCTCTCTGTGTAGCATGGCACGGCATCACCTCCCTCCAATGCCAACGCCCGCTGACCTTGTGTACCGTGCCGTCGCCTCCTCTTGACAACATGATGAATAGCTCAATCAGTGCACGCGCCCGACTCCACCCCCTACATCGAATATGCACAGAAGGGTGCGAACAGGCGAGGAGACGCCGCCTCACCAAGTGCCAGGAGTGATGGCGCGAAAACTCACAATGTCACTGAGTGTGTTTTGTTATGTGCCTATTGGGTGAAGGGAAAAGATAGGGAAGTGAGAGTGTTGATGAAATGATTACAGAGTGGCAGAGAGAGTGGAGGGGGTCTAGTGTTGAACAGCCGGCAGAAACCCTCCTTGTTTAACACAGTGGTACAATGCCTTAGAGAGAGAGTTCTACTCTTCGTTGGGTCTGGTTGTGTTTTTTTCCCACAGAGTCACACAACTTGTTCAGAGCCAGACTGCAGGCAATTCACAATCCTCAATGACAAATCACCACAAGTCATCTGGTTAGTTTCCACGGGAGATTGATATGATACGGAACTAAGTTGATTCTATGCAGTTTGAAGTGTGAAGGTGGAACTTAGAGTAGTTGCTTCTCAAGCACAAAGACAACTAGCCCGAGCAGGGAATAAACCTTTTGTTCATCAACCCAAACATCTACGAACACAAGTCCTCAAGCAGAAATCAGGAAACTCTTTAAAATCCCTCACTGTGTAAATAAATCAAAAACAGCAAGGTTACATTGCCCTCTTTATAGGAGTAGGGTAGTCTCTGACATGTCCTGTTGATAAAGCAGTGTAAACAACCGAGATGGGTTTCAGCCCGAGAGACACTGCTTGAACTGCATCTTAGCACAGAAAAACCAGGGGCGTAATCACAATATTGCACATGTGGACTTTACGGGCAAATATGGTTTTTTTAAAGATACACAGACAACCACATGAGCTGGTGTGCAACAATACCATACATATTGACATGCTTCAGATACATTAACCAAGCATGCACAGGGCGCTTCATATCTAGCCAATCTACTGCCTTTCTTCCTTATTCGCCCTGGCCCTCTCAACCTCCACATTCATTGTAGCAGTGCCCTATTGGTTTGAGGATGGGGGTTTTGAGAGGAGTGGGCCTATGTGTGTGAATTTAATCTTTCCTTTGGTTTCTTATGTTTCCCGGGGCCCCTGCAATTTCCCCCGGCTTTCATCTCTGTGCTCGGTAAGGCCAGATCATTTACACTCTGTGTTCACTTCCTGCTCCCACTCGTACGATCACACAGGCCAGCCAGCCGGCCGGCCACATCACACACACACACACTGCTTTAGTTGTGCAGAAAATATCAACTCCTAGAAGTGCCTAGAGTAGTTGAGTCAGGCATCTCACCTTCCTTCAGCTGGGTCATAACAGGTGTCTGGGTCTCCTTGGTGTACGACACCGTCTCTTTTGGAGGGAAGTCAACATGGGTGATCTTGGCCATGCCCAGCTTCAGAGGTCCACGCCTAAAAACAGAGCACATCTTCAGACACATGGAAGGGCCAAGGAGAGCTGAAATAATAACATGAACCTGGCCAGCCCAGACAAAGCACACAACAGTATTATCACATTGCCATCTTTTCATTAGCACCTCAAAGCTGAAGTTGCCTTTAAGACAGTTGGGGGATTTTGTCTTCTGATAATCACTTATTAATGGAGAAGGAAAAGAAGGATAACAACGTGTATGTAGGTCAAAGAAAGATGCCACCAAGACACACACTTTCTTTCTGATATAAAATGATGGCTTTGAGAGGGTAAAGAAGAGCAACAACACTAGAGGTTGAAAAGAAGGTAGCGTCCAATACCGCAGCTCAGAGTCAGAGTGAAGCTGAAGCGTGGACGGGTCAGAGTCCCAGTGGAGAGTCCTGGTTAGTGTCACAGCAACAAGGCAGCATTAGTGAGAGAAAGCAGGCATAAACCAAGAGAGGATACAAGTTAGAACATATACACTCAACATGCCCACACTGAAAAACACAGGTAACAAAGCAAACTTGTGTTCAATTCACTACATTCATTTCAGAAACACTGCGTGAATTTTACGTAAGAGGGTGGGAAAACGAGGTTACCACAACAACCCTCTAGTAGGCACTTCTATAGAAAAAAACTCAAATAGAAAAAACAAGGACAGTATCTGTTTAAAATGCGTGGACACAGGTCCTGAGTGTGTGATGACACTGGGTGTAATGAGGCAGCCTGAGGGGCTGTTGAGGCCTGAACTGTGTCACACGAACGGCTTGAACTCCCATGTGAAGGAGCGCCCTGCGGGGGAAAACATGACCTCCATGTGTGTAGGAAATGGCCATGCTGCTGAGGGAAACGAGTCAACACGTAGGGCCTTGGGGTGGAGGAAGAGCTCCCTGGGCCTGATGGGACTCTGGGTGATCTAGAGTTTCAACAGGGGGACCGGGGCTCTAATTAGGGGTTAAGAAGTCCCCCAGCCCTGCTGTTTTATTGTCCATTTAGGACCATCATAATGCAACAGCACACAAACAAAATAAACATGCACTCTTAGCATAAGCTAGTCATCGTTCTCTTTAATGGTACTGTATATACCATGATGCAACACCATGCTTCAGATGGGATATTGTTAATGTACACTCTTAAAAGCATCAGCTTACCCTGTGTTGTGCTACATCAATCTAGAACAATGTGGAATCTCTTGCTCTACAAAAACTAGTTGACTTTTACAAGTGCGCCATGCAAGGTTTTAAAATGTATGCAAAACCATGGCAAAGTGTTGTTGTTGGGCATTTGTGTGTTACTTTGAGAAGAAAATAACACCCGTACTGTGTTTTCAAAACTGTACATGTTTATGGGCATAGTTTACAAGGCAAAAGGTTACATAAGCACGTGTCAATTTAGTCAAAACTAATTCAACGATAGTTTCAATTTAATTGTAAGAACATTGGCAATATCTTACTAAAAACCTAGATACGCGATTACTGTTCCAGCTGTGACATGGATTTATAGGGAAGAGACCTGCTCAAACCTGTGATACACAAATCCTTCAAAATGACACAGACATTAGGAGAGACAGTCCCTCATTCATTCCTGCGATTAAAAGCCCTTGCATGCATCACAACCTAAATTACAGCGACGCTGCACTGTGCTTAGAGGATGAAGGCTCTTTGCAGAGAGAAATTAAAGCATTTTCTCATTAAAACATTAAACGGGGGGGGGTTGTACCTGGGTCCCACGGCGCCATCGCCTGAGTCTTGGCTCCCTGCCTCGCTTGGTGTGCCCACGGATTTGCAGGTTGGAGACATGGGAGGAGGGACTAGATAGTGAAACAGACAGGTATCCTCTGTTACTACGCGCAGAAGCTGGACTGGTCACAATGGTGCAAAAGTATGTAGTGTTGGGGTACCAGCAGTGGTAAAAATATATATATGTTAATGTGGCATGCAAAAACGCAAATAAGGAGTGGGTATGAGCAGCACAAGAGAGAAAAGACAAAGACAAATTGTTATATTTCATGCCATACACTGTGAAAATGCAAGTGAAAATTCAACAGTAAGACAAATATCAATAGTATTACAAACAACTAATCACACATCAGCATACCAAAAGTAAATGGATGAGACATGTTAGAGAAATTGAGGCAAAATTCGAGGGTGTGTTGTCAAATTCAAAAATACAAAACAAGTATTTAATCATGTCACTGTCATATTTTTTAAGCTATTCACATTTCGAGTCTAAGGAACCTTGGCAAGCCTTAGATTTATTTAATTAAATTTTCGGATTAATTCATAACATCAGTTCCCTACTTTTCTATCACAAAGCTTCTGGTTTACACACTGACAGGCCTAGCCAGCCATAAGGCAACATTAATTAATCTACTATGGACCACTTCTGCCCCCTTCTGTTAGCGTGGTGACAATGTTCTCTCACATAATAATAATAATATAATAATATGCCATTTAGCAGACGCTTTTATCCAAAGCGACTTACAGTCATGCATGCATACATTTTTGTGTATGGGTGGTCCCGGGGCTCGAACCCACTACCTTGGCGTTTCAAGCGCCGTGCTCTACCAGTTGAGCTACAGAGGACTCACATAAATCTTGGTTTAGAAAAATGCATGTCAAGAGTCACTACACTAGAGGCCCAATACACTTTCTTGTAAAAAGCTAATGTACAGAGATTTGTAAAACCTCTAATACTGGTGGTACATGGTGTCTTACCAACAGGAACATCAGCTGATGTGATGCCCATGCTCTGCAGAAGGGCATCTGTCTCACGTCTCTTTTTCTCCAAGTCTGAGTCATCCATTGGGGTGGCATCTTTCTTCAGGTCAGCCTGGGAGAGAAGCAGGGCAGATACACGGTTAGTACCTGGCTGTAAACATGATGAATAGAGGGTTTGATGGAGCATTCGAGTCTGATAGTCTATCTTAGGCTAGTTTAATAAAACAATTAGTCTAGCTGTAGAATCTGTACATTTTTCATGGAATCAAAGCTATTGTTCCTCTTTCCACTCTGATGTCAAATACGCATACTCAGAGACTTTGAGCAGAATGTGCACTGCCATTTTGGTAGGTCTAGTTCAGGGGGTAATTAAAGTCCCTATAAGCATGTACTAACCTCTTTTTTTTTGCGCTCATCTTCCTTCCTTTTTTTCTCCTCCCTGATCTGAGCCAGGCGTTGCTTCTTCCTTTCAAGCTCCGCTTTTAGCTCGCTTTTGTCTGACATGATGCCAACACTGTAGGACACAAACACGTTTCAGAACAACAAGATAGGTGACCTACAGCATTTTACAGCAGTCTGTAAATCTGAAAACCCCATCATTTGTACAAGGTGTTATTTTTTGTCTCTCACAAATAGCCACGAGTTAGGCTACACATTGGAATATAGTCTATAGTATGGTCAGAAGCAATTTAGCCTAGTGTACTTGAAAATAAATCACATTTCATGAGCTGCTCTGAAAGTGTAATAAGATCACTCCTTAGTTTCAACGTTTCAGATCAACGAGAAAAGCACCTGCTCCTTTGCACCTGTGATCTGCCAGGTCAAACCATTTAACTAGGGGGACCACTGCTAGATTTTTATCATGAATTAAGTTTCAGCAGGGCCCAGATTATAAGTTTCAAAAGCACACTCTACTGTCCAGACAGAGAAAGGTTGGATGCTCTTCCATTAGCAGGGTCCTGACCATCTGGGCTGTAAAATCCTCTTCTGGTCCAAAGCCCCATTCAAGGCTCTTTTGTCTACTCAACTCAAACCAACTTCACAGTGCGCTCTTAGAGAGATTAAGTTGATAATTTCAAGAGAGGCTTTATCATTTTGCATACAGCATTAATAAACCCTCATAACCTCCACAGCACCTGACCCTTTCCACACAGGGACCACTTCAAGACATTTGTCCTAATTGCACAATTTAAGACAATGAATGGAGGTCTGAGCTATCATATTGAAATAGATTTGTAAGCCTTCCTTTTCAGATGGTCTGCGCTGTGTGAAAACCATTGTACATTAAATTTGATCAACCTTGAGATAACAATGTGGTTGATGCAACTGTTTTTATTTAACTCATACATTTGAATTCTGCTGACAAAAACAGACAACATATGTTTTTTCAATAGGTGTTAATTGCAGACTTCTGCAAAAGGAAACGTTTTAAACTGCAGGCTAATACAAGGACTCTAGTTAGCTAACTCTTATAAAAGTATCTTACTGGTAAAAAATTATAATACTTTTAAAAACAGAAGTAAAGAGGTAATCTAGAGCTCCAACATAAACGATGCTGGCAAGAGTAGAGGCGAGAAGTAGTCTAGCCACCACAGACACTGTGGTCAAGCCATGACGAGTACTGAGCAGCATCTTCTTGCTTTGCTGTTACATAGCTAGCTAAAACGGGTTATATATAGAGAGCAGCTAGCGAATGTTATCTTAAAATTCAACACATGCTTTTAAAAAACTGAGTTTTTTTGCTCGACTTGCAGGCCTGTTTATTTTCTAACACAATTTAACGCGTTAGCAAGTTAGCTGCGGCCCCACCCAGCCAATGAGCCAGTGAGGGAGTTCTATTAACCTGAGCCGCTGTGCACCGGGCTATGGCCCGTGAGAAGTAAACGGACAAATGCTGTGAGGGAGAAGCGCCATTCTAAAATCGAACAGTATTCTGCGCTGCTCGGGTCATGTTGTCAACAAGGCAGCATGGTGCATCGTTCATATACAACATCTATTTTTCATAAAATATATGTTCGAATTGTCAAACTAGTTCTCATTGGGAAGGCAGATACATAACAGTCTACAACTGTTGTCGTAGTCCCGTGTAGCACAGTTGGTAGAGCATGGCGCTTACAACGCCAGGGTTGTGGGTTCGATTCCCACGGGGGACCAGTATGAAAATGTATGCACTAACTGTAAGTCGCTGTGGATAAGAGCGTCTGCTAAATGACTAAAATGTAAATGTTGTTTACGAAGCATGTGACTAATACAATTGGACTTTAAAGCGATTTTATCAAAAGTAACCACTTTTGCATGTGAGAACATAGAATCCAACTCATTACTCCACGTGCTTAACCTAACTACGTCACCTTTGTTTGTTTTTAGCAGACTTGGCCGTCGGACAGAGCAGGGGCACCTGGCTAACAAAAGCCCGGGAGGAAGCCCGGTTCCAAAACGAATACAATCACTTTTCACCCGAACCAAACTCCTACCACCGGGGCAACCCGGGACTTAATCGAATCGCCTGACTGTGAGTAGTGACAGACAACATTTTTAAACTAGCGAGCTAAATCGCGAAGCTAGTTTAGCGAACGTTGTCTAGAATAATTGATGATGACTGACTTGGCATCCTGAGCTCTTCAAGTTGAAAGCATTGATTAGGTAGCTGACTCTTTCGCAAACAATTTCTAACTACCAATCTTTAACATAAGGTGTTATTTAAGTAGGTTTTATTTAAGCTTACGCTACCTCGTAACGTTAAGATTATCAACTAGCTAGCTATATCACAATGAAGTGAGTTCGCTCGGCCTGCTACTGCTAGCCAGCCAACTCAAAGACAACGGAGGACTGGCATGGCGACTAAATCGCAACACACGTTTCTATTTAGCAACAATATGTAAAACAAAACAACAAAAAGTACGTTTCAATTTTAGTTTGGTAACAAACCTGATTTATCCTCGGCTTTCCAATCGCTTGAATCCAGGATCCTTTCCTAAACTTGGCACCAACACAACCGATGCGGAATAACGAATGCCGAAGAGGGACATTCAGATTGACATCCGCTGCCGATTTGCTTGCAATGAGTTTACTGCGCCAGTAGGGAGCACTGTCTGCTCAAAGTAGTAAGATCCCAGTGGCTGCCAATAAAGATAAGTGTTGGTGGAGAGATAACATTTACATTTACATTTAAGTCATTTAGCAGACGCTCTTATCCAGAGCGACTTACAGTTATGAGTGCATACCTTTTTCATACTGGAGAGAGATGCATGTCCTAGTCCTGATAATTTATCTGCATGCAATACTATGATTTGGATCCAAGAGGATGTGAAATTCTATTGACCCTACAGAAAATATATTTGAAAAAACATAGACCTAGTAATCACCTAAGTCAGCAAAAATGTATAGGCTGCTATTGACATGTCTACAAAAAAATGCAGGTAATGCTATAACTTACTCAATCATTTGTAAAATATGCTTTAATTTTATGCATAAATCATGAATTCCTCACTGTATGAAATCCAGGTACATAGTGCATTGAACAAAGTAATGATGAACTTTGGGTTTACCTATATTGCCTTTAGGTAGGCCTATATGTAATATGACATTATATATTTTGGATTATAATAGATTCACCTCTCACATCAATGATGATCCCTTCCCTAAAGATGTGTTGGTTCTGTAATTCCTCCCTTAAATGAAAATAAAAACTCTGAAGAATACAGTATGTAATCGTTATAAAAGCTATAAAAATGTAAGGAATATGTATTTGATTATTATTTGTCTAATCTTCAATAGGCTAGTTTAATCCTTTATTTATTACATTCAATGATATCAAATTGAACTGTGTAATTTATTTGTAAAAATTACAAAATATAAAAAACTGTTTAAAGGTCAACATTCTGGAATGGTTGGGAACAATTCCTCAAGGTGCTATTTGGGACAAAGGTTAATACAAAGGTTTACATTTGCTTTGGGACTGCCAGAACAGTAGATCCATGCAACGTTTTAAAGCATCAACAGACAGACAGAACCAGCAGTTGGTTTTCATGTTACTCAGTTGACCTGTCCTGAGTCCTCCAATTTACCACTCCTTCTCCTGGCATCTCCATTGCCTTCGGGGTCAATCGGGTCAGTTTGTTGTGACAGGGCAGTGCCCATTTTGGTGCCAGCTGACCCGCCCCCATAAGTTGGCAGGGAGCGCAGGACCTGCTCACTTGGGCGTTTCCAAGAGGGCCGAGTAGCGATCCAGAGAATGATTGCTCCAAAAACTACTATCAGTACTCCCAGCACATTTACAAAGTTGGCCTCTGGGGGAGAGTCCTTGTACTTGGGATCTTTCCTGAGAGAAAAAGAAGAGAGTTACCTATAGCTGTAATATAATTTTACGAAATGGGGTCTCTAAGTAACCAAGTTTAGTATATTTCCTGTATTTCCTGCCTTGTAATACTTACAGGCCAAAAATGAGTTTCTCTGTGATGCCCATAAGTGCTGTGGCTATGACACTGGCAAAGATGAACAGTCCACTGTAGATGTGCAGGGGCATAAATGCTGCTCTCAGGTATATCGGGGTGATGGGTATCAAGTATATACACACTCCCAGAACAAGCTGCTCAGTAAAAGAGGAAAGAACATCAGGAAACTGTCAAGCATTGTAAGCATGTGGTATCCCTGTCCTACTGTGCCATAAAATGCACTTCATAAACAGTCTACACAAGCATCCATGCATAGAACTTTAGTTATGTAGTAGGAAAAATGATGAAGAATAATGCTTTATGACAAAGCTTTATAACAATGTAATAGATATTATGAAGCAATCATTAGGGACATTTCTATAGCATCATATAGTAGGCTACATGCAGTGCTTTACTTGGGAAGGAGCTCACTACTGCTTGAGCTCCTGTTCCTCTTTGAAAATATTAGTGCAAAAGTATTGTGGAGCTCCTGCACCTAAATATAAACAATACCGGCACCCAAAATGAGTACCAGAACCTATTTCAGTCCAAGTCAAGCACTGGCTACATTATATATTTTAGGTGTGCTTACCTGTAGTGAATATAGTATCACAGCTGCTAGTCCCACCCAGCTGTGCAGGCTATACATGTTGGGGATGTTTTGTTCATTGTGGAAGTCAAATACTGCTACCAGAGATATGACAGCGAAAATGAAGGCCAGTATGTTTAAGCCAGCATGAATAAACTTCATCATTAACTTGCTGCACTTCCAGGTCCATGGCAACCTATACACGACAATGGCTGAAACAGGAAAAAATCACTTATTCAACTTATTAATCATGAAAATGCAAGTAATTGAATGGGAATAATACACCCTCAAATAATACATCCTCAGGGATGAGCAATTCCTGCTATAAATACCAGATGTTGCAACATCCTGTTTTGACAGAATCACTATGAGGTATACTTCTAAACATAAAATAAAGCCATAATCTCATTATGTAGTTTAATTTTGTTTGTCAAGTGTGTGGGTAATTGTAATATAATCATTTTTTAACTAATGTTAGTGCATACCAATTAAAGTTGCTGTGTCATTCAAGTTAATTAGGCTACACTGAAGGAGGTAATGCAAATTAGTCTGGAATGTACTTTTGTAAACGATCAAAGGGTCCTATTGTTTTTGGCTACTCAGTCAGTAACTTTACTCAGAATTGCATCAGGGTAACAAATTACCATAGAGCACTTAACATTTGTCTACAAAAAAACTATTGAAAATGAAACCAATAACAGGCTATTTCTACGAAACATTGACACGTTTCATAATGTATCTTTCGTTCAATAACAGTACCCCTGACGTTACAGCGTTGCATGGCAGATTAATTCACGAATTTCACTGCTTGTTGAAATAATTTAACTTTATGTATTGACAGACCTCCATCGCTTCAGCTTTTACTGAATGATGTATGTACAGAAGAGAGAAAAACACAAACTTCTCACCAATTCCCTGCATAAAAATGAACCCGGTAACGATTAAAACAGGGTGCCAATTGAATTCGGCCAGTCCTCCATCCCATGCTAAACCTTCCCTGAAGTAGAATACCCATCTCAAAACAAAAATTATCGACACAAAACCAACCGACACAGCTGCGGACAGAGCGAACAGGAACTGCTTGAAATTCTCCATCGCCATCTCTAACGAACGCACTCCAACACTGGACTTAAGGAATTTCAAGAGGTTACTCGGGGGGGATGGGTCATGACTCTTCTCCATAACAGAAGGTCTGAATGTTTTCAACTACCAACGTTTTGTAACCTCAGGTTGTTACAAAAGCGCCAGACACAACAGTTATTATGGAAGCCCATTCCCGCCACAATTATTTATATATTTTTATGTCGATATTAACTAGACATTTCAAGGTACGCAAGTCAAATTTTCGAGATATTTATTCATAATATGGGGATATGCAAGTAAACATTTCTAGATACTAACTCGATATTTTGAGATAGACCATATTCATAGGTTATATTTCTTCATTTGTAGCATTGTGTGGTGATTTCAGAGGTGGCACCACAGGTCCCAAAGTGGTGGTGGGGGGGGGTTAGGGTGGTTAAGGAGGTCGTCGGGTAAGGTCGTTGGGTAAGCTTGGCGTCCGGTAAGCTTGGCTTTACACATAGCTTGGGCTTTGTCGAGTAAGGCTTAAACTATGTGTTTAGATTGTAGTTAGGTATTGTAGGTAGTTATTGTGGGTTGTTGTATGTAATTATTGTAGGTTAGTATTGTATTCGGCTGTGCCCAGCGTAGCCCAGCGTAGCACGAAGCTAGCTAGCTAACCCACCACCGGGACTAGCTGGCGAGTAGCTATTAGCAACGGTATAGTTATTTAACGCCTGAGAGTGCCTGTAATTACGCCAGCTGGCTGCCTACAATAATTACATACAATAATTGCCTACCATTCAGCTGTTTCCTAACCTCATTGTCTGAACCGTTAACGTTAGGTAGCAAGTGGCTACTGTGCTTGAAATATTAGCTAGCTTGTTGCTACCTGGATAGCTACTAGTAAACAATAGCTGGAACGACCGTGCGAACAGACGCGAACTGGCTGAGTCAATTCAGTGGCTAGCTTTGCACTTGGCTAGCTAACAGTAGCTGCTAGGGGTAAGTCATAACCTACATTTGTGTTTTGTTTTTTACATATTGATAGCCCGAGTCACTCAAGGAATTTGGGACATGGGTGACTAGTTAACGTTAGTTTGGCTCTCTCTGTGTGTTCGTGCCGTGAAAGGAGGGGTTCTTCTTTGTCTGAAAGCAATGGCTAGCTAGTTTGCTAACTATTCTAGCTAACTAACTGGCTGAATAAGTTGACGACGGACTCGCTCAAGCTGTCGGGACTAACCCACAACGTTAGACACGGACACAAGCGATCTGCTTGCGCGTTGATACACTGGTGGTTTGTTGTGGCAGAGTATTGGCGCTAAACCGTGTTGCTGGAGTCCGGCATGCTAGCTGGCTGTGGCGTCATATGACTTGATGCCCGGACGATTTTCACGGAAAAATACTGCACCTAGTTAGCTAGCTGAATAAACTGAGTTAGTCTATTCCTAGAAACATTGAACCGCTGTAGTTTACAACAATTATAGTTTCTGAGGTGGAAGTTGGGAGAGTTATATTTGGGAGTTGTGCTGAGGGAGGCCCCGCTCTCTCCTTTCCCAGATGTTTAGTTCATTTCATTCCGATCTCCTCTGCATTATTGTAGCCATTTGCTGCAGCCTGTCAACTATGCCTCTGCCTATCCCTGTTCTCTCCTCTCCGCACAGGCTACACAAACGCCTCACACCACGTGGCTGCTGCCTCTCTAACCTGGTGGTCCCTGCACGCACCACCCACCTGGAGTTCCAGGTCTCAGGCAGCCTCTGGAACTGCCGTTCTGCTGCCAACAAGGCAGACTTCATCCCAGCCTATGCTACCCTCCAGTCCCTCGACTTCTTGGCGCTGACGGAAACATGGATTACCACTGAAAACACTGCTACTCCTACTGCTCTCTCCTCGTCTGACCATGTGTTCTCGCATACCCCGAGAGCATCTGGTCAGCGGGGTGGTGGCACAGGAATCCTCATCTCTCCCAAGTGGACATTCTCAATTTTTCCCCTAACCCATCTGTCTATCTCCTCATTTGAATTCCATGCTGTCACAGTCACTAGCCCATTTAAGCTTAATATCCTTGTCATCTATCGCCCTCCAGGTTCCCTTGGAGAGTTCATCAATGAGCTTGACGCCTTGATAAGTTCCTTTCCAGAGGATGGCTCACCCCTCACAGTTCTGGGGGATTTCAACCTCCCTACGTCTACATTTGACTAATTTCTCTCTGCCTCCTTCTTTCCACTCCTCTCCTCTTTTGACCTCACCCTCTCACCGTCCCCCCCTACTCACAAGGCAGGCAATACGCTTGACCTCATCTTTACTTGATGCTGTTCTTCTACTAATCTCACTGCAACTCCCCTCCATGTCTCCGACCACTACTTTGTATCCTTTTCTCTCTCGCTCTCCTCCAACACTACTCACTCTGCCCCTACACAGATGGTAATGCGCCGTCGCAACCTTCGCTCTCTCTCTCCCGCTACTCTCTCCTCTTCCATCCTATCATCTCTTCCCTCTGCTCAATCCTTCTCCCTCCAATCTCCTGATTCTGCCTCCTCAACCCTCCTCTCCTCCCTTTCTGCATCCTTTGACTCTCTATGTCCCCTATCCTCCCGGCCGGCTCGGTCCTCCCCTCCATCTCCGTGGCTTGATGACTCATTGCGAGCTCACAGAACAGAGCTCCGGGCAGCTGAGCGGAAATGGAAGAAAACTAGACTCCCTGCGGACCTGGCATCTTTTCACTCCCTCCTCTCTACATTTTCTTCATCTGTTTCTGCTGCTAAGGCCACTTTCTACCACGCTAAATTCCAAGCATCTGCCTCTAACCCTAGGAAGCTCTTTGCCACATTCTCCTCCCTGCTGAATCCTGCCTTTGATACTGTGAACCATCAGATCCTCCTCTCCACCCTCTCCGAGCTGGGCATCTCCGGCGCGGCTCACTCTTGGATTGCGTCCTACCTGACCGGTCGCTCCTACCAAGTGGCGTGGCGAGAAGCTGTCTCCGCACCACGTGCTCTCACCACTGGTGTCCCCCAGGGCTCAGTTCTAGGCCCTCTCCTATTCTCGCTATACACCAAGTCACTTGGCTCTGTCATATCCTCACATGGCCTCTCCTATCATTGCTACGCTGACGACACACAACTAATCTTCTCCTTTCCCCCTTCTGATAACCAGGTGGCGAATCGCATCTCTGCATGTCTGGCAGACATATCAGTATGGATGACGGATCACCACCTCAAGCTGAACCTTGGCAAGACGGAGCTGCTCTTCCTCCCGGGGAAGGACTGCCTGTTCCATGATCTCGCCATCACGGTTGACAACTCCGTTGTGTCCTCCTCCCAGAGTGCGAAGAGCCTTGGCGTGACCCTGGACAACACCCTGTCGTTCTCCACTAACATCAAGGCGGTGACCCGATCCTGTAGGTTCATGCTCTACAACATTCGGAGAGTACGACCCTGCCTTACACAGGAAGCGGCACAGGTCCTAATCCAGGCACTTGTCATCTCCCGTCTGGATTACTGCAACTCGCTGTTGGCTGGGCTCCCTGCCTGTGCCATTAAACCCCTACAACTCATCCAGAATGCCGCAGCCCGTCTGGTGTTCAACCTTCCCAAGTTCTCTCACGTCACCCCCCTCCTCCGCACACTCCACTGGCTTCCAGTTGAAGCTTGCATCTGTTACAAGACCATGGTGCTTGCCTATGGAGCTGTGAGGGGAACGGCACCTCCGTACCTTCAGGCTCTGATCAGTCCCTACACCCAAACGAGGGCATTGCGTTCATCCACCTCTGGCCTGCTGGCTCCCCTTCCTCTGCGGAAGCATAGTTCCCGCTCAGCCCAGTCAAAACTGTTTGCTGCTCTGGCACCCCAATGGTGGAACAAGCTCCCTCACGACGCCAGGACAGCGGAGTCACTCACCACCTTCCGGAGACATTTGAAACCCCACCTCTTTAAGGAATACCTGGGATAGGATAAAGTAATCCTTCTACCCCTCCCTTACCCCAACCCACCCCCCCCCCCCCCCCCCCCCAAAAAAAAAGAAAAAGAAAAAAAAAGAAAACACATTGTAAAGTGGTTATCCCACTGGCTATAAGGTGAATGCACCAATTTGTAAGTCGCTCTGGATAAGAGCGTCTGCTAAATGACGTAAATGTAAAATGTAAATGTGGGGAATTGTTTTCCAGGGGCCCAGAGTTTTTCCTGATCTGGTAGGTTTACTTAACCAGGTAAAACTCTGGACCCTAGTTGTAGGCCAGGGTATGACAGAGTTCAAAAGGTACTTGCACTCAAACCATGAAAAGGAATAATAATAAATAATAATAATAATAATAATAATAATAATAATAATAATAATATTATAATAATAATAATAACCCAAGGAGGCCAAGATGCAAAAATAATATACTTAATTTAATCCATGCTCGAAAGAATACAAAGGGTGGCAGTGCAAAGTGTTTAAAATAAAACAAAGAATAGCAATAAAGGAATAGTAATAAACCAGCTGTAAAACGGTTTTATATGGGCTATTACAGTACCAGATTTTTTCTAATCAGGTCATATGTTATTAAAAAACTCCTGGAAAAACTCCTGGCCCTTGGGAGGGCTTATTTACACAAAAAGTGTGATTAGACAATATAACAAACAGGGCTGAGCTTGATTTATGCAGGGTTGCATTGTGTAGGCCTTTGCATCTGTAATTAAAGAGTTACTCATGTTACTATGTCATCACTATTGTGTTGATTAATTCCAGTCAATCATTTTGGATAGAAAAGGTCTAGGTAGCCTAGCCACCCGAAGTCACACAAATAAATGGGCCTATTTTAGACTATAAATACATAGCTTAGGCTATGCTATACATGACGTTACCGCTTCGTTTCCCTTGGCCAGAGGGGATCAGAGTGCATAGGCTTCTCTAGGCTACCTGCAGCTGTGTTTATAAGTAGACTACAGCTGATCAGACTAAAGCACAGATTAATTGTGCACGAGTTGACAAATCATGAGGCAAATCAGTCTAAAGAACAGTACTTTGTCCCTCTTTTCAACGCTTTGCGTCAATATTTTTTATGAAGCTGAATCAAAAGTGCTGGGGCAAATGCCAGCTCGCCACACATTTGCCAGCGGCCCTGCTGTGCTGATCTCTGCAAATTAAGAAACATATCCTCAATTTTGATTATCTAAAATGTTTGACTTACATGCATCTTGACATTTTTGGGTGGCGGGAATGGGCTTCCATGCAGTTATAAAACAGATCAGAAAACCTAAATTCACAGCTCTTCTTAGATGATCAAACATGTACAACGATGTTTTTCATTTAATTTAGAAATTGAGTGACTTAATTCATACAGTGGCTTGCGAAAGTATTCACCCCCCTTGGCATTTTTCCTATTTTGTTGCCTTACAACCTGGAATTAAAATAGATTTTTTGGGGGTTTGTATCATTTGATTTACACAACATGCCTACCACTTTGAAGATGCAAAATCTTTTTTATTGTGAAACAAACAAGAAATAAGACAAAAAAACAGAAAACTTAAGCATGCATAACTATTCACCCCCTCCAAAGTCAATACTTTGTAGAGCCACCTTTTGCAGCAATTACAGCTGCAAGTCTCTTGGGGTATGTCTCTATAAGCTTTGGCACATCTAGCCACTGGGATTTTTGCCCATTCTTCAAGGCAAAACTGCTCCAGCTCCTTCAAGTTGGATGGGTTCCGCTGGTGTACAGCAATCTTTAAGTCATACCACAGATTCTCAATTGGATTGAGATCTGGGCTTTGACTAGGCCATTCCAAGACATTAAAATGTTTCCCCTTAAACCACCCAAGTGTTGCTCTAGCAGTATGCTTAGGGTCATTGTCCTGCTGGAAGGTGAACCTCCGTCCCAGTCCCAAACTCCGGAAGACGGAAACAGGTTTCCCTCAAGAATGTCCCTGTATTTAGCGCCATCCATCATTCCTTCAATTCTGACCAGTTTCCCAGTCCCTGCCGATGAAAAACATCCCCACAGCATGACGCTGCCACCACCATGCTTCACTGTGGGGATGGTGTTCTTGGGGTGATGAGAGGTGTTGGGTTTGTGCCAGACATAGCGTTTTCCTTGATGGCCAAAAAGCTCAATTTCAGTCTCATCTGACCAGAGTACCTTCTTCCATATGTTTGGGGAGTCTCCCACATGCCTTTTGGCAATCATGGTGCCGCTTGCTTGTTGGTGCCCCTTGCTTAGTGGTGTTGCAGACTCTGGGGCCTTTCAGAACAGGTGTATACAGTGCTATGAAAAAGTATTTGCCCCTTTTCTAATTTTCTCTACTTTTGCATAATTGTGATACTGAATGTTATCAGATCTTCAACCATAAGTGAACAAATAACACAACAATTACATATTTATTTAATTTATTCCATAAACAAAGTTATGCCACACCCAATTCCCCTGTGTGAAAAAGTAATTGCCCCCTTACACTCAATAACTGGTTGTGCCACCTTTAGCTGCAATGACTCCAACCAAATGCTTCCTGTAGTTGTTGATCAGTCTCTCACGTCGCTGTGGAGGAATTTTGGCCCACTCTTCCGTGCAGAACTGCTTTAACTCAGTGACGTGTGGGTTTTCAAGCATTAACTGCTCGTTTCAAGTTCTGCCACAACATCTCAATTGGGATTAGGTCTGGACTTTGACTAGGTCATTCCAAAACTTCCAATTTGTTGCTTTTTAGCAATTTTCATGTAGACTTGATTGTGTGTTTTGGATCATTGTCTTGCTGCATGACCCAGCTGCGCTTCAGCTTCAGCTCACAGACGGATGGTCTGACATTCTCCTGTAGAATTCTCTGATACAGAGCAGAATTTATGGTTCCTTCTATTAAGGCAAGTCGTCCAGGTCCTGAGGCAGCAAAGCATCCCCAAACCATCACACCACCACCACCATGCTTGACCTTTGGTATGATGTTCTTACTGTGGAATGCAGTGTTTGGTTTTCGCCAGGCATAAATGGGACCCATCTCCTCCAAAAAGTTGACTCAAGTTTGCCAAAAAGCACCTGGATGATCATCAAGACTCTTGGAAGAACGTTCTATGAACAGATGATTCAAAAGTATAACTTTTTGGACGACATGGTTCCACTTATGTTCCCTTTATCTAATATTAGGTTTTGGTTGAAGATCTGATAACATTCAGTATCACAAATATGCAAAAGTAGAGACAATTAGAAAGGGGGCAAATACTTTTTCATAGCACTGTATATACTGAGATCATGTGACACTTAGATTGCACATAGGTGGACTTTATTTAACTAATTATGTGACTTCGGACGGTAATTGGTCGCACCAGATCTTATTTAGGGGCTTCATAGCAAAGGGGGTGAATACATATGCACGCATCACTTTTCTGTTATTTATTTTCTAGAATTTTTTGAAACAAGTTATTTCTTTCATTTCACTTCACCAATTTGGACTATTTTGTGTATGTCCATTACATGAAATTTAAATAAAAATCCATTTAAATTACAGGTTGTAATGCAACAAAATAGGGAAAACGCCAAGGGGGATGAATACTTTTGCAAGGCACTGTATGTCCTAAAAACAAAATGCAGAAGTAGCCCAGTTAGCCAACAGTTGTTTTGGAAGAACTATTTCAGACACTTTATTAGACTACCAACAACATCTTGAAAAGAACAACAGCATGACAACATGTAGTCCTTATTGGGAAAGAAAGTGTAAAAAATTACTTTTACAAAAACAGCTTCAACGGGGCTATTTACTTGAGGAATCTTTTTGAATAACATCATTAGCAGTTGGAAGGAATGTCTCAACTTCACTCATCTGCTTGTCCACGACTGATTTTGTAGACATGGCAGCAAAAGTTATTATTCTTCGTCTGTTCAATATGAACAATTGTATCTCTGTCAAAGAACAGCTCGTGGCTGTAAGTCTGAAACAAGAAAAAATAATACATTAATAAATCATTTGAAAAGGAACGTTTTCCCACATTTTCTTCCTTTACACTAGCCTTGTTCGACCATTGTGATCTCGCAAGCTGACATTCTGTTGAAACAAAATGAGAGTGCAATGGTCAGGATGGCGGATCAGGCTACATTTACACAATATTATAAAGCACTAACCACATCCCAAGACTCCACAAGTGGAACCCTCTTCAGTAACGCTCCAGTGTTGTTGTCATGGAGTCTGACGTGGGCTTTCCCCTCATCCTCTCTGTGGGTCACCTCCACAACAGCCAGAAGATCAAGCTCATCCTCATACTCCACCATCCGGAATGTCTTTGAAGTAGCAAGAGGCATCAACAAAAACACTCACCAGCAATAACCAATATGCCTATATGGAATGCCACTGAAATGTCATTCAAAGTAATTTAGTCAGGAGTCAGGTCAGGACAATAGTGCAACTTCTCATCAGTATACATAAGCTACACATTAACTGCAGTGAGGCAACTTTTGCAATGGGACTTCTATATAAAATGGATTGGGCTGAAATTATACAGTCTAAACCTAATCCTTTAGAATGTACCTCTTGGTCTGGGTCATCATCCAGCTGATGAAATCTTCTCTTCACTGTGCGGCCTGAGGAGGTGACACTGATCTGGGAGGCAGCCTACAGTGGATAGAAGACGAGAGGTTTTATGAATCCATCACAGGAAGAGAAGCACTTTTCACCCTTCTATCATTATGATGGAGAAAATATATCTAATTTAAAATGTATTATGACCAATGGATAAAAAGGTGCCAAAACACTATGTTAACTCACATTGTCTCGTTGCGCTGTGATGGAAAACTCCTTCACTATATCGAACACAGTGTCACTCTCCAGTTCACTCAGAATTTTCAGCACACTGGTGGAAAGTATTCAATATTCAGTAAAGGCATAAGAGAAACGTCATTGTGTGAAATCTGATTGATGAATAGCACTGACCTCAATACCATAAAGTAGCAGTGTAAAGCATGGTCTTATGGACAAGGGTTTTAAACTCACTTTATGGTGCTAGGTCCAACATGGATGATTCTTCCTGAGTCATCAGGATGGAAGTAGATCCAGTCAGACTCCAGAGAACAGCACTTCATGTCTTGTATTCCATGCTTTGCCTATTTAGAAATGTGTACAGCGGGAATATTACAGTTATTTGCACTGGGTATGACAACTACAGAACACTTTGGACTTTTACTGTAATTTACTGTAATTCTCTTGATCAGAGTTTGCCAAATGAGTGTGTGGATAATGATTTAGCAGAAGCTTTCATTCAAAGCAACTTAGTACCCAAAGTATTTGTCAGCCACGCATAAATTGACTCGACAACATTGGTGCTGCCAGCACCATGCTCCAACCAGCTGAGCCATCAAAACATCCTTTTATTGGAGATCATTTGTCTTTCTGAGTAATACATTTGTTGTGTCAGTTAAAGACAATGCCTGTCAAAGACATCTGCAGCTCTCTGAAACTGACATGCTCAAAAGGCACACTAGCAGCAGGATACTTAATATGCTTAAATAGTCTCACAATTCAGGAGACTTATTTGCGACCCATTCAATGTGTAGTGCATAAAGATAGATCTGTACGAGTATATTACCAGGGTGTTATCCTTGAGAGAACAGATGCGGTACGACCCCTGGTGTTTCTTATGGGGTAGGGTGAAGATATAGTGCCATGGATGGCCTCCGATCTGAACTCCATTATCAAAGCATGACACCTCAAACAGCACTGGGGGGCACTCTGTGGGGGAACATTTTGAAAAAAAATCACTAAGGGTCCCCTGAAGCACTTCTGCAGATGGATAGACAAATGAATGGTTGGAAAATCTGAGGGACAGAAAGATGGATAGACAGATAATCACCTACCGTTGATGTGGATATTCACTGGAATGCCAAATGGAGCTTCTCCCACAGTTTTACCGCCTTCTGAATGACACTGCTCCCCAATAACCAATTCCTTGGTTATGTACTGGCAAAGAAAGAACAATCGATAAATTTTTTGAGAAATAATGGAACATTGAGTATGTAGACAATCTGAACATTTTAAGAAGCATCCATTAAAACCACTGAAATGTTATAGTTAATCATAAATTCACACCTTATTCAGAATGTCTTCAAAGCTATAGAGCTTCACAGTCTTGGTACTGTGAGAAACTGCAAGGACCCCTTGGGACAGAACTACATCAATGACAGTGCTTCCAAATATCTGAAATGACAGAGACATACAGTGCATTCGGAAAGTATTCAGACCCCTTCCCCTTTTCCACATTTTGTTACTTTACAGCCTTATTCTAAAATGGATTCAATTGTTTTACACACAATACCCCATAATGACAAAGCCAAAACAGGTTTTGGGACATTTGGGGAATTGTAAAAAATATATAATCACATTTACACAAGTATTCAGACCCTTTACTCAGTACTTTGTTGAAGCACTTTTGGCAGCGATTACAGCCTTGAGTCTTCTTGGGAGAGTTGCTGCACAGCTATTTTCAGGTCTCTCCAGAGATGTTCGATCGGGTTCAAGTCCGGGCTCTGGCTGGGCCACTCAAGGACATTCAGAGACTTGTCCTGAAGCCACTCGGGCGTTGTCTTGGCTGTGTTCTTAGGGTCGTTGTCCTGTTGGAAGGTGAACCTTCAGCCCAGTCTGAGGTCCTGAGCGCTCTGGAGCAGGTTTTCATCAAGGATCTCTCTGTACTTTGCGCCGTTCATCTTTCCCTCTATCCTGACTAGTCTCCCAGTCCCTGCCGCTGAAAAACATCCCCACAGCATGATGCTGCCACCACCATGCTTCACCGTAGGGATGGTGCCAGGTTCCCTCCAGACGTGACGCTTGGCATTCAGGCCAAAAAGTTCAATCTTGGTTTCATCAGACCAGAGAATCGTATTTCTCATGGTCAGAGTCCTTTAGGTGCCTTTTGGCAAACTCCAAGCGGGCTGTCATGTGCCTTTTACTGAGGAGTGGCTTCCGTCTGGCCACTCTCCCATAAAGGCTTGATGGGTGGAGTGCTGCAGAAATGGTTGTCCTTCTGTAAGGTTCTCCCATCCACAGAGGAGCTCTGTCAGAGTGACCATCGGGTTCTTGGTCACCTCCCTGATTAAGGCTTTTCTCCCACGATTGCTCAGTTTGGCCGGGTGGACAGCTCCTGGAAGAGTCTTGGTGGTTCCAAACTTCTTCCATTTAAGAATGATGGAGGCCACTGTGTTCTTGGGGACCTTCAATGCTGTACCCTTCCCCAGATTTGTGCCTCGACACAATCCTGTCCCGGAGCTCTATGGACAATTCCTTCGACTTCATGGCTTGGTTTTTGCTCTGACATGCACTGTCAACTGTGGGACCTTATATAGACAGGTGAGTGCCTTTCCAAATCATGTCCAATCAATTGACTTTACCACAGGTGGACTCCAATCAAGTTGTAGAAACATCAAGGATGATCAATGGAAACAGTATGCACTTGAGCTCAAGTTCAAGTCTCATAGCAATACTTATGTAAATAAAATGTTTTTAATTTTTTATAAATTTGCTAAAAAATCTAAGAAATTGTTTTTGCTTTGTCATTATGGGGTATTGTGTGTAGATTGATGAGGATTTTTATTTATTTAATCCACTTTAGAATAAGGCTGTAACGTAACAAAATGTGGGAAAAGGGAAGGGGTCTGAATACACTGAACAACAGATAAATATATCATTACAAAAATACATGACTTAAAGAAACAAAATGTTGCATACACTTTTGTTGATCTCCAGAACGCCCACAAGTTGCAGGGGGAAAATGCGGAACACGGCGAGGTACAGCAAGGTGTTTTGGTTGAAACCTGCCTGTGAGAGTTAGGATAGGAAATAAGTGAATACTTCTCAGATTTCACCAGTCACAAAAGAGAAAAACTACATGGAATGGTTCTACTATACAAAGGCTAATTCTAAGATGAATGGGCATATCAGACTAGTGGAAACCACACCTGTCTTGCTGAAGATGTCACTTTATTCTGAATGGACTTGACATAAAATGTCTCCTGCGATACATCCCAGCCAAGGTATCTGATATCGAAAAAATGTGTTATGTTAAGTAAAATAAGTGGTTACCTGCAACAAGAGGAACCACAATAATAATAAAAAGAGATCTGTTGGGTTCATGATTTGTGGAAGAAATGTTTATTGTACATCACATACAACTGCCATTTACCTGAACTTGTAATGTGGGGACAAGTAAACTTTCTCCAATTGTTGTCCTGTCACAGCTGAGAAGCGATACAGCCAATTATTGCCGGTCAAGGCCAAGAGGCTAGGTTTTTGATCTGACGGTGTTGGCAACCCTTTGTCCTATGGGGGTAAACATAATGATGGTTAATTAGGATAACACTAGTACAGCACTCTGTTTATATCATTTATACTCATTTACAATTACATTTAATGAACTTTATTCATCCCCAAGGGGGCATTTATTGCTGTCAGAAATAGTTATAACGGACAATAAAACATGCACTTTATAAATACAAAAAGCAAAGTACAGTACATTCTCTAGTCTATAGTTCAATAGTCCACAGCGATGCTGTAGATGTACAGAACTAAAAACTGGAAGTGATATATATGGACTTCTTAGGAATTCTATGCTGTTGAGACCTGTTACATTTCTATACAGCAACCGTGAACTGGTTAAGATGGAAAATATTAGTTCACTTACAAGAGGGCACTGGCATAGCAATGCATCTTCAATCTTCTCCGTTTTGGACCGCTTGGGTAATTCATACAGAAGTTGTGGCTCAGATGGAAGGCTGAAAATGATATTTTTTATTTTAAAAAGAAGTACAGTAGTTCCTAAAGGTACTCATGTCATGAACCATAACAATGCCACATAATGTAGTTTGAAAATAAAATATACACATTACCTACTGAAGCAGCACTGATAATTTTCAAAATAAATCCTCCCACTCTCATAAAATATAGTGGATTTCGAGGACTTGGTCCAAACTTTGGTGAAGTCTTTGCTGTCCTAGAGTAAATGAATAAAAGCCATTACTCAGATTTATTTTTGTGGAATTAATATATTCAATTACTTAATACATTGCACTTCACATACCTGGAGGACAATACCCCTGAGAATCTTCAAGTTGAGTTTTGACAAAGTGCCAGCATCAAAAATGCCTCTAGATCTGAAGTCAAGGTAGGCTGCAACATTTTCCCCTCTCAGCTGAGGCATCCCTAGGGGGCGCTCAATGCACAGAGGATTGTCCACTCCACACAATAACACCAGTGTGTCCAAAACAAAGCAAACGCAATTCAACTGTTATCCACGTCGGTATTCGATACTCCAACCATTTCAATGATTCATTTACAAACAAATACTACGTATACACAAACCTCGTCCATTAGATAACGATAATTAAATGGGCATAACTAACTATCACGACTGCTAAAATGACGTGTCCTTAGCGTCAGATGCACAGTACACAGCGATCACAGATAGAATGAGCCAGATATTTCACCGGATGTATAAATGTGAAGCATCCGGTTGGCGTTTCCGCTCACTACCAAATATGGTGATGAGAGGAAGCCCAGTGGCCGGCAGTGGGAGACTATAGAGCAAGATGGATTTTGGCCGGCATTCTTCAAATTTTCAACATTTGATCTCCATATAGTTTTCGGTTTCCAAAACTATAATCTGTAACAAACAGAGTGGACTGCGATTTGTAGACGTTACCCTTTGCCAATGTTTAAAAAATGTGCATCGTTTAGAAGGAGTGCAAGGGCGAATTTAATTATTTCACATGCGCACATAGTATGCGTTCCCTCCCCCTTCCTCCTCCTCCTCTTCTTCTTCTTCTTCTTCTTCTTTTTCGTTTTCTTTTTCTTCTTCTTCTTTGGTATAATGGCGTTCGCAACAATTATATGTGCATTCCGCCACATACTGTACAGGTGGATAATAAAGATCCGAAAAGGAAAAAAAGCGGGGTAATTCTATTTTATTGTTTAATACAAACAAAATAATATTCCATACAAACTATCAATAACGAATTGTAATTAAACTAAATCAGCCTGCTTTTCTGTTTTAATCAGGTCCCTACACAGGCTCAGAAGGATCCTGCCGTTAAGCCCAAAAACATCTCGGCTGCAGATATAATGATGTCCAGCTTCTTGGACACTTGTGCAGTACAATTAATAACTGTGGCTATAAATGCTACAAAATCCACCTTCTTCACAATAAGTGTATCCAGACCACTTAATTGACTTATAACATATCTTCTTCAGAACTCTTTTCACCGGCTCCACATAGGAGATTTGCTGTACAGCCCTGATCCTTGACACCTCAACCTCTTTCACCCTAACAGGACACTCAGGGAATTCAGAAACATGAACCCCACCACAGTTGCAACATTTTACATTCACAGTCTCTTCAATAACATATTCATTCCGTCTGCAAACACTTGACACATGGCCAAACGTTTTACATTTCTTGCATTGCATCGGGTTTTGTACAAACGCTGGTAAATACTCATCAAACAGCAATAATACAGATAAACTTTGCTCCTTTTCTCCATTCTCCATACGGGTTAAGCGACTTGAATTAACTACTCCTGATTATCAATGTCAAATACAGAAACTCAAGGGGTTTATATAGAAACACAAAACTGCTTAGTCATGGTTGGTTCCACCCCTCCCTGGCAGATCAGGGCATCATAAGCTATCTTGTTTTCTTCTTGTGGCCAGGTGTATTGGGTGTGTAAGGTTATAGCACACAAACAAGTGATGACGGCAGTTCCGTTTAGTCCTTTCTCTACCAAGCTAACCTCCGTACTCTTCTAACTCCCCACAGCTGTGTCCCTGGAAGATAGTAAAAGAACAAGATGGGCTGAAGAACTGTGATCACTTCTCAGAGGCTCTTTGTCTTATGCTGTGTGACCAGGTTACTCAGAAGCAAAGAGAAATTGAAGCAATACGTCTATCTGTTCCTCAAGTTTATCTCTATCCCATGTCCTTGACTACACGCCTAGACCAGCTGCGGGGAGTGAACGTGGAATAGATGAACCATCCTTTCTCAGTTGCACAGCATTGGTACTGAAGAAATGTATCTACTATTGTTAAGCATATGAATTGTTAACTATTAATATTAAACAAATCAGGTAAATACGTGATTTTTCTCTCACACGGTCCACTTCATGCAACGATAATTTCGCGAGCCACAATGCGCGCTCCTTTTCCTCTTTAGATATACACACGATATCAACACTATACCACTCCTGGTTACTGTTTCTGTATGATATGTTAGATTAAAGAATAAAGACAGACACAAATGTCAAGTTCAATAGCCACGTTCAAGTATTATCCCAACATACAGGGTCCGGGGAACAGCCCAGCTAGTTGATTACCTATCTACTAGACTCCGTAACATCATCCTTTTCAATAGAAAGTGCTAACGTAACAGCACAACATTATGTTCTTAACAGTCAAGTCATAACAAATGAAAATGCATTACATTTTATTTTTACCTCAGTTGTCGTCTTCCTCTTTTTTAAATTATTTTTTATATATATAACAGAGGACAGGTTAACACAGTCCCTTTTTTACAGAGTAAGCCTGTCTGGTGGCTTACACAGCCGACCCACCCGTGAGTAAGTGTGGGCTCTGACAGGGGTAGGACTAGGGCCAGGAGCCTTAGAGCTTGGTGGGGTAGAAGCCTCACCCTCGGTAAGCTCATGTCTAAATTCTGTGCCCCTTGCCCTTAGGCCTGGACTGTGATCCAGCTCATATACAGTGAGGGAAAAAAGTATTTGATCCCCTGCTGATTTTGTACGTTTGCCCACTGACAAAGAAATAATCAGTCTATAATTTTAATGGTAGGTTTATTTGAACAGTGAGAGACAGAATAACAACAAAAATATCCAGAAAAACGCATGTCAAAAATGTTATAAATTGATTTGCATTTGAATGAGGGAAATAAGTATTTGACCCCCTCTCAATCAGAAAGATTTCTGGCTCCCAGGTGTCTTTTATGCAGGTAACGAGCTGAGATTAGGAGCACACTCTTAAAGGGAGTGCTCCTAATCTCAGTTTGTTACCTGTATAAAAACACCTGTCCACAGAAGCAATCAATCAATCAGATTCCAAACTCTCCACCATGGCCAAGACCAAAGAGCTCTCCAAGGATGTCAGGGACAAGATTGTAGACCTACACAAGGCTGGAATGGGCTACAAGACCATCGCCAAGCAGCTTGATGAGAAGGTGACAACAGCTGGTGCGATTATTCGCAAATGGAAGAAACACAAAAGACCTGTCAATCTCCCTCGGCCTGGGGCTCCATGCAAGATCTCACCTCGTGGAGTTGCAATGATCATGAGAACGGTGAGGAATCAGCCCAGAACTACACAGGAGGATCTTGTCAATGATCTCAAGGCAGCTGGGACACTAGTCACCAAGAAAACAATTGGTAACACACTACGCCGTGAAGGACTGAAATCCTGCAGCGCCCGCAAGGTCCCCCTGCTCAAGAAAGCACATATACAGGCCCATCTGAAGTTTGCCAATGAACATCTGAATGATTCAGAGGAGAACTGGGTGAAAGTGTTGTGGTCAGATGAGACCAAAATCGAGGAGGAATGCTGCCTATGACACCAAGAACACCATCCCAAACATGCTTTGGGGGTGTTTTTCTGCTAAGGGGACAGGACAACTTCACCGCATCAAAGGGACGATGGACGGTGCCATGTACCATCAAATCTTGGGTGAGAACCTCCGTCCCTCAGCCAGAGCATTGAAAATGGGTCGTGGATGGGTATTCCAGCATGACATTGACCCAAAACACATGGCCAAGGCAACAAAGGAGTGGCTCAAGAAGACGCACATTAAGGTCCTGGAGTGGCCTAGCCAGTCTCCAGACCTTAATCCCATAGAAAATCTGTGGAGGGAGCTGAAGGTTTGAGTTGCCAAACGTCAGCCTCGAAACCTTAATGACTTGGAGAAGTTCTGCAAAGAGGAGTGGGACAAAATCCCTCCTGAGATGTGTGCAAACCTGGTGGCCAACTACAAGAAACGTCTGACCTCTGTGATTGCTAACAAGGGTTTTGCCACCAAGTACTAAGTCATGTTTTGTAGAGGGGTCAAATACTTATTTCCCTCATTAAAATGCAAATCAATTTATAACATTTTTGACATGCATTTTTCTGGATTTTTCTGTTGTTATTCTGTCTCTCACTGTTCAAATAAACCTACCATTAAAATTATAGACTGATCATGTCTTTGTCAGTCGGCAAACGTACAAAATCAGCAGGGGATCAAATACTTTTTTTCCTCACTGTAGGTGAGTGCATGGCGTGTTCTCGTTTGCTGTCTGCTCTGCTACGCGCAGATCCACCCGATTGTCACAATAGAGGGAGCCACCGACATCCACCAGGTAAGAATGTGGTGCAACTCTCTGTAGGCACGTGCCCAGCCTCCAAAGTCCTGTGTGGTCTCCCGGCAGCTGTTTCACCCACCTCCAGCTCTGGTAAGTCTTGAGCAGTCCAGTCGTAGAAGCACTTAGCGAGCTGCTTTCTGTGGCGCAGTTTGTCCGTGACACCAACCATGACGCAGGGCTCAAGTAGCTTGTTGGCTACGGGGATGGTATTCCTCAGATGTCTGGACAGAAGGCGTTGCGCTAGTTTGCTATCCATGTTGTCGGTGGGTGTGTTCCGCCACTCTAAGATGTCTTTCCAGGGGTCGTTGCTGTCACGCAAGGCCTTGCGTAACAGTTTCTTTGCAATCTTGACAGCTGACTCTGCCTTGCCATTTGCCTTTGGGTGCCTTGGAGAGGAGGTCACGTGGTCAAACACCCATTCTGAGGCGAAACGCTTCAACTGTGCAGTGAATTGTGGGCCATTGTCATTGTCGTGTTACGTTACAGCCTTATTCTAAAATTTAGTAAATTAAATGTTTGTTAAATGTCATACCCAAGAAGACTCAAGGCTGTAATCGCTGCCAAAGGTGCTTCAACAAAGTACTGAGTAAAGGGTCTGAATACTTATGCAAATGTAATATTTCAGTTTTGTAAAACCTGTTTTTGCTTTGTCATTGTGGGGTATTGTGTGTAGATTAATGAGGGGAAAAAAATAATTTAATGATTTTTGAATAAGGCTATAACGTAACAAAATGTGGGAAAAGTCAAGGGGTCTGAATACTTTCCGAATGCACTGTACATCTCTGGTCCCGGCTCGTAGACAACCTTCAGGCTGTAGTTTTGCTTAGTCAGGACCATGCTTTGAAGCCTCTTGGGTGCGTTGAGGAGAGGTTTACTGAATATGGCAACGAGTGGTTTGGTCAGTTTCAGCGGTGACCAGCTCTCGACCATATAAGTAGTGATGGAAGCGCTGGCAGGAGAAGATGCTCTGGATTGTAACAGGCTTCGTAACGTCATAGTAGCGCAACACTGGCATGGATGAAGCCAGAGAATTCATCTCCTGCACCGCAGCCTCGTCTTTGGGTAGCCAGTGAA